GTTCAGTGGTCACAGGAGAAACAGCAACAATTTTGCAAAAGCAGCTTGCAATCACTGCTTTAAGGGATCTTGGCTACAACCAAATATGCTAAAAGATACACAAAAAAATCAATTTGAATATACAAATAATCTTAGAAGTTATCTGTAAAGGATTATGATGCTTTAACTAATTGCTAGTATATAATGTCCATATGGTTTGCACAGTGGTGGGGAGGGGAATAAGTGCAAAATATGCAAAAAGAGAACAGTACTGTTTTATTTAAAGTTTCTGGCTATCCCATCCCACTGTTTAGGACAGGTAGCAATACAAAATCAGTGGCAAGTTACAAAACATTTAAAGTTCCAATGATTGTAAAATAGTTAACTGCCTGTCATGCCAGCTGGCTGGGTCCTCCAGATGGCTATTCTGCTCCCCCTCATTTCCAACAAAGGGTCAATGCCCCACACTAGAATTACAACTTACCCGGGAGGCTCTCAGCCTGCCACTCACCACAGTAGGTTAGGCACTTTCCTCTCAATTAACACAGAGCAGTCTGGCTGTGCCACGGTTGCAGAAGATGGGGGCTTACCTTCCTCACATTAACTCCTCACAGTGCTCCATACTAGCTTCAGGACTGTTGCTAACAACCTAGAAGGCAGTGACTCTGTGCAAAGGAAGGCGACACATTTTCACTGCATTGCTGCACCAGTGTTTCCAGTCGCACAAGCATTGCCACCCGAAACAGGAGGGCACAGTACACCTGATGGACAGGGGGGCCAACATGACAAGACACTGAAAAACATGTCCATTGTATATATGATGTAATCCTTGTGAGACGACTATTGAGATGGCGTTGATCAGGAAATGCTCCTATGACTACAAGAGAGCCCCAAGATTGTTTAGATCCTACCAGGAAATTTTGCCTGAAGGTTCACTTCATTCAACACCTAAGTGAATCCCAAGCAGGTTCTTCCAGAGAAATGGCATCGTATTTATTTCATTTTTCTTCATCTTGAGGTTCAGTTGTCAAAACTGGACAGTATATTCTAGACAAGAGGATGCTTTGAACAAGTTACCAACACTAACTTCCCTGCTAAAATCAAGAAGCTAATTTCTCTTCTGCTGTTACATCTCAACATTGTTTTTGTTTCCTGTCTTGTCATCACCTGCACGTTTCAATCATAAATATTCCCTACTGTTCTCCTGCAATTCACAACTGGAAATACTAGATAATTTGAATCCCCAAAGTAAGCCAATTCATTGCACTCTTCAGTTCTTCCCAACCTGAATCACTGAAAAACCTTTTAATCTTTATTTTGATATTCAGTGCCCAAGAGTGGTCAGATGTTTTGGGGACTCCAAAAGAGGAAATTAAGATAATGGCCATCTCCAGCATCTGGTAATCAGTGTATTGCCACTGTACATAGAGGTTCATCTAGCACTATAGGCAGAAGCCATAGAGACTGGCCTATAATGCAAATTCATCTGGCCAAAATTCATTTTTAAAGACTTTTAATTTCATCTTAAAGCACTTTTCAGTGAATGGCCAGTCAACTTCAGAAGCTGTTTGTTAGGAGAAGCATTAGCACAGCCATTAAAGCTTTCCTATATGGCTTTATCATTGTATCAAATATATGAAAATCCAAATAGACTATAACCTACATTTATTTTGTTTAGCTTGAGTCGTCCTCATCTGTTGGTATCTGCGTGAGCTCCAGAACTTTGTGACCACTGGGCTGCATCTGATGCAGTCTGTGTATAGTTGAAATGATGGCAGTATTAAGGCAGCAGCCTCTGCTCTGCCTGGGGCTCTGGAAAACACCCAACTTTGCTACCTTCTCGAATCAGCTCCTACTTAGTAAACGCCTTTCTATCCCATTATCTGTTTTTCTTTCCATCTTTTAGTCATTGTTTCTAATATTAAAATTTACAGCATGACTCCATCTATAGTTCTGAGATGTTTTATTCCTTGAATACACACCCTTATCATGCTCTTCCCCAACTCTATTTCAGATTATCAAAATGGATAATTTTTCTCATCTCTAATCCTACTGTTGGTTTTCTTGACATTTTCCCCTCATTTGGAAAATGACATTTTCCCTGCCTTTCCTTTTTGGTCATATACGGACTCCCCATTTCCATTCAAGCATATGCCCAATCTTCTCCCACTTGAGAGTTGCTTTTGCACAAGGATGAGTCAGTTATATATGCTGCTAATAACAGCCAAGCAGAATCTATGCACCCTAGTTAACACTGGCAACAGAGCATAGATTTCTTATCTAAATACAGAGATCATCCATCAAAATCCATGAGAAGTTCCCAAAACCCATAAATTCCAGTTAGTTTAAGTGCTCACATAGAAAACCTAACATTTGGGATGGGAGCTGAGCTTCAACATGTTCATTGTCCAAGCGTATGTGTTGAATATCCAAAATTAGCCAGAAGAGAAATAGAACAAAACATTTTGTCCATTTAACAGTATACCTGGGGATCATTTGGTATCAGACCACTTCCAAGTTGAATATGTAGGTTTTCATCCTTTTCTCACATCGAGTCACCATGTTCCAGTGCAGAAAGCAATATACAACTGTTACAGTGAGGCAGAACCTCTAAGTAATATAGAAACCATAAATCATTTTAAAACGTACACTTTCTGCTTACAAGCCAAAGAATGCCTGCAAGGTGAGGCCTTTTCAGCCTACCAGAGGAATGCACAGTTCCCTCACTATCCTTATTAAAACTTTTCCACTGGTCGGTGGGCCACTGGCTTTACTAGGTTAAAATTTGCTGCCACTACTGGTCCTAGACAGAAATGTAGGACTGACCTTGGAAGATATTCTGAAGGAAACTGCTCTAGACTAGAATGAGAAGGGTACGATATCACACATTCCAACATCTCATTTATTTCAAATGCCCTAGAACAGTGGTGGCGAACCTATGGCATGCGTGCCGCACTGGGCACACAGAGCCCGCTCTGTTGGCACACGAGCCAAGTCACCCCAGCATTACCCCAACAGCCAAGCATCAGATAACAGCGCATATACGGGCCATGCGCATGCTCGGAAAGGAGTAGCAGCACCAGGCAATGACATCACGAGCCACGACTCATTAGCTGCGACTCATCTGAGCTTTCGCATGGCCGGTCAGTGCACTGCCAAGGATATATATATTTGCTTGGACTGGCTGTTTTCTCTAAACTAAAACCTCAGTATTCAGGTTTTATTGCAGTGTTAGCCTTTGCAATAAATGGGTTTTGGGTTGCAGTTTGGACACTTGGTCTCTAAAAGGTTCGCCATCTCTGCCCTAGAAGCTCTATATGAATGTAGGAATTGGTCTCCATCTCCAGAGGTGCATGAAAGCAATGACAATGCTCATATTTTCAGCTCAAGGTCAGACAACCCCACTTCCCATCATTTCTCACTTGCCAGAACAAGATATATTCACCACTGGTGAGGACACCTGTGCACCCACGTCAACATCTAGATTCCATAGGGATGGCATGTTTCTTTCTGCTCCTTGGATTGCATTAGGTATACCCTATCTCTCACCTTTGACCAGCTTAAGTTGGACTCAGCAAACACTACATAGGATTTGTGTGTTTTTCCTGGATGTTCAGAAGCCTTCTTGTATACAACCCTATAAAGCAGTACAGTAAAAAGGTAAAGGTTCCCCTGCATGTATGTTCTTGTCCTCTACTATTATGGGTAGTGGGAGCGCACACTATGCACAGCAGTCAGTGGCCTAACAACAGCCCAGTGAATGTATGGCTTAGTGGAGGTACAATCTGGGGACTTGAAGCTCATGCCCACAAATGCACTAGACTATGCAGAAAAGTAGGAATGAAAAGGGAATGGCAATTGTATATGTGGATATATTTGGTCAGCCAGGATGGGTCAGCCAGGAAGTAGAGTGGCAAGTTTAAGTATACAGGCAGTGAAATGGTGGTGCAGGAAGGATAATTCCTTGGTCGCAATGGCTATATGGGCCTCCATGTTCAGAAGCCATATGGTCCTGAATATCAGTTGCTGGAGAAGGTTGTTGCCTTCATGCCCTGCCTGTCAACTGCTGAAGTTAATTTTTGGTTGTGTTTAACAAAAACTGTAAGAAAACGAAAACACCAAAAAGGACAAAAACAGAATCACATTTTGAAAGCAGACTTCAAATGGGCTGGAAAGCTAGGGAGAGACTGGTGTACAATGAAAGTAAAAATTGTGAGTTTACTGAATTGTCAGACTGTAAATTTGCAATGAAAAGGGGGAAAATCTGTTTGCTTCACCTTAATTATGCTTGGTAAGTGAAGACCAGATGACAGAAGGTATGGGGCAAATGAAAAATCGCCCCTCAACCCCATAAACCCAGTACTTTAAATTTTTACTATAGAACAGCCTGCCTACCATATCTCCTGTTGCCACATTTTGTTAAGAAATCAGTGATAATTCAAGTATATGCACCTGAGCTTTCTGTTATAACTTTGACTGGTATTTGATGTTGATCAGGTAAGAAACTTTGTTGTACTGAGGATCAATATTCTGGCTTGTTCTTGGGCTGACACCTGTCTTCTGCATCAAATACTCAATTTACAGTCCAAAAAGCGGTGTAAAATGTGGGGAAACCCAAGTATATAGATATGGTTTTGTCTGAAATGAGAGCTGTACCCACCTGAGTTGCTGAGGCAGCAAGCTGTTTTTCAATTTAATTTTAAAACAGAAGCAAGAATTGGGTGCCTATTCAGCATATGGTGCGTACTTAAAATAAACTTGTCAGCATTTTGCTCTTTTTCACAGAAGTCTCAGATTAAGATGAAAATACTCCAGGGAAAACTGTTGGGCCCCAGAACAAAGTTTTGTAAGCCACAAGGAACCACCCCCTGGCTTATTGGGAGTCCCTCCCCCACTCCGTATTCTAATTAAATGAAATTAATCGTATGGAGACAGAAGGCGGCGACACAGTGCATCATGAAGGAGATGCTTACCGATGAAGTCTGCAAGTACTGGATTACAACAGAAGGGACACAAAACAGTCAAGGCAGAACACTACAGATTTTATCTTTTAGAAAATCCCAACCCCTGCATCTAATAAGACTGGACACTATAGTTACAACACTCCTAGAACCATAGAAGAATGGAAACACAATAGATAATGGGAGTGGGAAGGGGAAGACACCACTATGGCCAGTTTCAGCCATTCACTTACAGAAAAGCAAGTAGAAACTGGGAGACAGCAAGGACCAAGTTGCCTTGCTAACAGAACAAACCCCAACATGAAGGTAGCACATGAAATGTTTTTACCTATTTAAAACACAGGCAGCAGGTGGAACAAGGATGTGGGAAGTAACTGCTAAATTCCTTGTACTACAAGGAAGGAATGAAGTAAAAAAACCCAAGCCAGAAGGCAGGTTTTTTTTAGTGAGCCTCTCTTTCTTTTTCTGTGCTGCTGGTAACCGTGGTAAGTATAAAAAACAAAGAAAAATAATCTATTTTTTTGTAGAACAAGTCAGTAGTTTGAGACATAGAAAAAAGTAAAAACCAGTCCTTTTTAAAAAATGGATTTACTAAAACAATTGTCACCCGGGATACATACCCCAAGCAACCTGCCTTTCAGAAAAGCAAGGGGGAACGGATTTGTAGCCACATTTAGGCCTTTAATCCATTGAAATGTAAAGGCAAGGAAGCAGGGCTGCAATCTGCCTCTGTGGGCTGCATATTGAAACTCTGAGACTAGCTTGATGATGCTAGCAATAACTTGTGAGTTGATGTTTTCACAGAAGCATGTCACTGTGGAATCATGAGAAAGCTGGGCTGTTCTCGGTCCAGTCATTAATCCCGTGCTTTCATGATATCCACCTTACCAGCTGCACCTTGCTTCAGACAACTTAGTGGCAGGGTGTTCATAAAGCCTAAGACAGAGGGAAATGGCTACCAGTGCAGGAAGGAGTGCCTTGCCAAGGATAAGTACCTCAGCTACATTTTAATTCTGTGCGAGCTTTCTTGAAGGGAAGATACCCCAAGAGAATTAGGGTAAACACAAAACCAATGGTTTCAAGACCTAAAGTTCCTTTGCTTTCGATCAACCAAACAGGAACTAATGTATTTTTCCACCCACTCCTGTCTCCTTCTGCATGGTGCTTGAAGCAGATTCCTTATCCATGTAAGCATTGCCTTGATGCCTCAACTTGAAGAGGCCGAATGGGAGCTTTCATCTCCACACAATCAGCATGCCTCTATGGGGCAAACTTGTGGGGTTCAGGGCTAGTACCCACTATTTAAACTGCTGAGGCCGAGAAACATAAACCACGGGGCTTATATCTGCTCAGCTTGAAGGCAGCAGTTACGCTCAGCCTTATGTAGGAAACATGGGAGTACAAATACTGGGGGGACTTCCAACAGGGTGCTTGGTACCTGCATAGCTGGGTCAGTACCCCAGTGCCCATGGCATCCCTTCTTGTAAGGGAAGCCAGCTACATGGGGCTAGCTCCACTAGAGGGCCATTTGTTTGCGGTCGTGCAGCTTCCCAAGTGGCTACTTTAGCGTCACACCACCTTCTTAGTGTTCCATTTCCCTTAAGTTCCAGCAAGACCAAGCAGCCGCTAACTTGTCTCCTTGAGGTCCTCCATGGGAAGTTTGTAGCTCAGCAAGAAATGAGCAGGTGGTGCAGATGTTGGACTGCCTGGCCCCTGCATCTGTTTCTTTGCACAGTTTATGCAGATATAGTCTTCACTTTCTGCCATTTCAGGCGAGACACCAACACAAACTTGATGAAACCATTCATCACAGCCACCGTCACACTGCACCCAGTCTACCTGTAAAAGACAATAGTGCTGTGTTAACTATATCGCAAAGCAACAAAACACACAAAAAGGTGGTAAGAATTCTCTGGCTTATCATTATAGGAGCAGTACTGTCTGAGAAATATAGTACTCTTCAGAGTGCACTAGAGAAACAAGGGTTAATGTAGGATGTTCGTTCTTACCACCAAACCGTGCTTCGTCAGAGAACAGAACAGATTTCCATCTCACCCTATTATCTTCAGCCTGACAGCAGCATGACTAGAGAAACCAGAAAGTGGTGATGGATACTACCACACCTGTAGCATTTTCCCCAGGCAACTTCAAAGCTGCTCAAGAGGAGACTAAGACTGTTGAACACTTGGCTGAGAACTAAAGTGAAGATGTAGTGGACAGAGGTGGGCCCCAGGGAAGAGCCCAAGAAGCAGGAGCCCCATAGTAGAGTGGATGTGCTTGCTTTCTGAAGCCAAAATACCAGAGCAGTCCCTACAGTTTAGATGTTGCGACTGTGCTTCCGTTCCCTTCCATATACAAGCAGTCTTTGGAGAGCACCAACATTCAGAAGAGTCTGAGATCCATGCAATACACTAACACTTTTGCAGTATGAACATAAAGTACTTACATAAATTTCTTTACCATGGAAAATCTTGTGGTTTGAGTACATGGGTAAAGAGCCTCTTACATTTCAACATCAATCTACAAGGCGCTTTACATAAAAAAAACCAGTAAAATCGTATTAGCACTACCTCAGTGCTTCAGTGAAACAAATGGCAGTTAAGATCCCGTAGGTCGGGGCAGAGAAAAGGGAAAGAGCAGCCACTTTGTATCTAAAACCCATGGTACAATCCTATACAAGTTCAGATAGAAAAACGATCTACCACTTCCAGCTATGATGGCTAGGGCAGGCTGGTCGCAGACTCTTTTTCTGTCTAAACTTGCATGGGATTGTGTCTCTACCATTTAAATAACTGCAATGTCAACTTTTCATTTATTATTTTCATACCACATCACCAAGAATTAAAACATCCTGAGTGCTAACCAGACTTTCCTGATGCAAAGCTGTAATCTGTGTCTTTCCCCACAAAGAAAAGCAACACAGGAAAGAATCTCAAACCTAAGGGGAGGGTCAATGGCTTAATAATGGAACATGTGCTTTTAATACAAAAGTCCCACTGCAATCCCCAGGCATTTTAGATCTTTACTTAAGAACATGGATAGTTGCTTCCAATGTGCAAAGAAAGTACCAGGCTAGATGAGCTAAAGGTCTGATAACTGTAGGGCAGCTTCGTATGTTTGGTGCACCACAGGTATAAAGTTGAAGTAGGCCCCCTGCCTCTAATTTAGCATTTAAACTTTGATTTTCGAGTACCGCTAGATTTTGCCCCCAGGGATTGTTAATCGTGTACTCTTAGTGCCTTAAAAACCCACAATTGCCATAGACCACTGAAATCAAGGACTGCAGTAAAATACATTCATGTCCATACTAAAGACACTATTTCTTCCTCTTGTGGCTATTCTAAACCAAGCCTACACTGAGGTTTCTAGCAGTGTTTAGCAACTGATCAAAAATGCTTTTACATAGATGTGGCAGACAGAGGACACCATGTAGTGGCAGAGCATATAAAAGAGCACAACTGGGTAAAAGTATTAAAATGATAGTTGACACACAAAAAAGACAAGTATGTTGTCATCCAGAAACCAGTACAGCTCTGATTTTCTGCACTGAAAAGTGTTTTAGCTGTCAAAAGAATGTTAAGTTTAAGTTTGATCAAAGTTTAAGTCCATCACAAAGATGAACTAATGGCACCAAATTCACAGTACTCCAACATTTCCTCTATTCTTCAGTTTATCTTGTGTCCAAATAGTGGACATCAAGCACATTTACAAAAGCTCTGCTTCTTGCCACTGAAGGCCTGTTGCAGCAATGTTGTCCAAGCTTTCACGGATACTGTTTAAGCAGTCAGTAGTCAATTCAACATCATCCATTATTTGAATTGTGGATGAAGCCAATTGACATTATGTGTTTATGAGACCAGGCTGACCAAGGCCTGGTTTTGGTCATGTTCAAATATTCAAACTGTAGTGTGGGGAAAGAAGTGCCTGTTACTGCCCCAAACAACTTTAGTTCTTTATCAAGGAAAGTGATGCTCAGTTCATCCAATGCAAAGTCTACTTCCATGGTGCTGGAGACTAGACAAATCCACTCTGCTGAAGATCAACAAAGATGTCAGTTCCTTCAGACTGGCTTGGAAACTCCATAACAACCACGAATCTGTTCCAAAATCTAGTACTATTCATATATCAAGGCATGCTTTGAGTTTCCTTTCTCTCTGCCACAATTGTTATCTGCACAGTACCATCAAGTGGATCTTTCCCAAATGATAATCTGCATTCTGGAAGCTTCCTTTAAAAAAACTCAGCTATTCTGTTTTTGTTTTTTATTTGAATGGAACAGCCTGTGCTTGTGCGTTTTTGGTTAAGTTTCATGAGACATAGGAGAAAAATCCTACTGGTATTGTTAGACTTTTCTGCAGATTTTAAAATTATTGGTCATGAGATAATGCTATCACAGCTGCAGAATGGCATTCACAGAAATCATCTGGGGAATTTTGATCCCAGAGGTCAGCAAAATGAGCTTGCTGCCCACCCCACCCCACCCCTTCTTTATGGAACTGCATAGTATGTCTTTACTATGTACAAGACACTGGGAGATGTTGTCTTTGTGCAGATGAAGTAACCAATTTTTTATTCTATCCAGGTTTTACAGAGTCTATAGTCAGAGTCCTGCCGTATAGCTTGGGGAAACAGCCAGAGGTACTTTCTACCATTCTTCTTGCCAGGGCAGCTGCAGCCTCACTTTCATATTTAGATTTTGGGAATCATCAATGCCTTTGTGACCTAGAGGCTGGAGTGCCACGATGTAAGCTCAGATTTTTCAGAAGCTTCAAATGATGCAGAATGCACAGTCCCTTTTCTCTAGAATGAATCACTGGGAGCACGTTGCCATACTGACTGTTTCTTATTCCAAATGGCTTGAGAATTACACTGTTAAGGACCACCACTTTTTGTATGTCCAACCATGACTCCATAGATCAGTCAAGTATGCCTTAAGCATAGCAATGCAGTACACGTAGAATTAAGGTATGCAAAGAAATGTTCTTGACAAGTGCATTCAGCCATAGAACTCTTCTTTCCATGGTTTGTCAACACAAAAAATGGAAGACTATTGTTTGGGCAAGTGATTAGAAGACAGGGATTAGCATGGATTGGCAGTGTGTTTTAAACTAGTGTCTTGGAAGTGTTTTGGAAATTTATTAGAAACAAATTAGCAAGGACATTATACAAATTTATCTGCCTTGAGCTGCTCTGGACTGTGTGGGTGATGAGTCCAAGAAAACAAGAACATTTAAAGTATAATCACAATGTGTTTCCTAGGTCCCTGCAGTTGAATCCTGCAGCAAAACCCTGGCTTTTGCAGTGTATGGAAATTTCTGCAGCAGCTTATACACTTGTGCAGGATTTACAATGAAGTGTTTTATGCAGAAAGACAGCTTTATTTTCAGCAAGAACGACACTCTGCCAACAGTAATGTCTCTTGCTCACTGGCACAAGTATCCTCTAATAGTGCATGCATTGTTTTTCTTTCCCCTCCCCACAACACAATCAGTTGCATTACGGTACATATGCGCCAGCTAGCACTGCTGATGCACAAGTGAATCCTAGCTTGTGTGCATACATATCCAAAGCAGCTTTGTGGAATGTTCCCTGAACAGAAACACAAAACTACTATGAGAATGAGAGTTGTTTCCAGCAGACTGTCCCTGCAGAGCTGAAACTCGAGTCCAAAGTTGCTGCAAGTGGACCTGAAAAGGGTCTCCAGGGCAGAAGAGATTTAATTTGCTATAATCCGATCAGTTCTAAAAGCTCTGCAGATTTACCTCCAGCAAGAAAGTGGGGCAGTGCGGCATGTGGTTTCCCTCAACCTGCAGACTCAGGGCTCACAGGCTTTATGCAAGAGCTTTTGGAAGATTAACTTTCCTAGACGAAGACTGCACGACCAGCTTACAGACTTTCACTTCGATACACACCAAGGCCTGGGAATAGTTCTCTCTCAAGTCTGGAATTAACTCCTGGGTGTCAGTCAGCAGGTGTTCTAGAGTGCCAGCAGGGAAGGAAAGATGAGGAAATGGGAAAACTTATCAGATGGGGAAACTATTTTCAAATTCACCCATTTCTTTACTTCATCTCTTAAATGCCTGCCAATATGCAACATCAAGTTGGCAAGACCAAATTCTGATTTAGCATAGCCTAGTCAGATACATATACCCATTACATTCCTTGTTAATGATTAACTAATAAGTATTTTATAGTCTCTACCCTTTAAAATAAAAGTGATAAAATTCTAAGACATTGCCCTGAAGTCTGAAGCAAGCTAGCACTGAACTCTGAAAAGGTTCAGTCAAAGTGACCCACCTTGTCCTTGCAGGGCCTCTGGCAGTTCTGTGCTGCACACACTGCATTTTCGTCATCAGACTCCTCAGCTCCTGACCAGTCATACTTGGAAGGAATATCCAAGACTTTCTTCTCCCTCTTTTTCTCTGTGCACTCTTTCACCAGGTCCACCTTTGCTGCAGCTGCCTTCTCACGCTTCTTCTTCCGTTCTTCTTCCTTAGCCAGTTTCTTGGCCAGTTTGTTCAGTTCCTTTGTCTTGTCCATGGTCAGCTTAAGCTTCTTCTTCTTCGGTTTTTCCAGCTTCTTCAGCTCTTTAGACTTCTGCTTCATTTCACCAAAGTACTGTTCTGCTTTCTCTAGCTTGCGCTTTCGTTTCCTCTCAGAAGAATCTCTTCCACGCATTTTTGATGGCTTCTCATCCATGCTGTCATCCTTCAGTGAATGATTTGATAAAGGAAAGGTTAATGCAACTGCAGTTATTTCAATGGCACAGCAAAAGGAAAAGAAAAAAAAAACCTGCCAAGGAACCAGCTACAGGAAACACTACCAGTAAGCATCTTGTCCTGTCCTCTAGATGCACTTAAGCAATACTGTTCATTGTTTGGATGGAGGCAAGCTGGCATTCTTCCAGCCTCCACCTGATATTATCAACTCAGCCACCACTGGTAAAGGCAATACAACAGAAATTTGTAATGCAGCTCCATGTGCAGACTGCACAAACACACAGTAGTGATGCTCCAGAAAACAAGATCCAGATAAATGGGTGTTTTAGAGTTTTAGCAACCAAAAATAGTGAAGTTTTTTATACTGAAAACCAACCATAAATCAATATACCCCAATACTATCTATAGTGGCTGGCAGCAGCTCCCCAAAGTTTCAGGCACAGGTCTTACCTGGAAGTGCCACAGATGGAACCTTGGGCCTTCTACTTGTGAGGTAGGTGCACTACAGTTTGGTCTGAGAGAAATTTAAAAGATAGCACTACTATCCACATTTTGGTCAGGTATGCTTGTACTTATTCTACCTCAACTGAGTCTAGATACTAGCGATCTTTAAAATTGGATATCATGTATTAAGAGTTCAGGAATAAAGTTAGGAACTAACTCAAACAGAAACTGGAAACTTCAATGCCTATTTTGAATGAAGTAGATTCATTCAGACAAAGGAAAATGGGTTTCAAGTCTATAGTGCTGAGTTCTACTTTGAACCCCAAATAGGTGAAAGTTTAACAAAGTAGGGTATATGCATACCCCTAAATTACCTATTAGTTTTCTTGGAGAACCTTCCTGAAAAGTGAAGAGAGGTCTAGGGATTCCTCATCATTTCCTAAAACGAGTACCTAGGTTTCATACATGTCTTCTGTCTCTTGAATTGGCAAATGACAGAGCAGGTGGTATTATTCAAGAGGATGGGTTTAGCCCTGGAGTTTTCAGTTACTGATCTTTCAACATTTACATAAACAAAATGAGTTGACATAACATAACAGCCCATCATGGGTACCTGCCATGGTAGGCTGCTGTGTCAACTGAACCCAGTCCATTTCCTGCAGGATGGCATGCTTTCAGGCAACAAGACAACCTAACAACCTATAGCTTGTTGTAGGAATTGCTGAACCAATGACCCAGGGTGGGGAGACTGATCTGTCAAAGTTGCAGGAAGCAATAAGCAAGCCATAAAAGTGTATCTTTTCTTGATTTTGGTAAGCTTATCTGTAAGCTTACCAAAATCTTCTATGGATGCTCAAATGACACTTTGGAGGGACTGTTGGTGGTTTACCACCTTTAAAATAATGTGGATGGCACAAATGTCTTCGTGGTGTTTCAGAACTTGGATCTGTGCTGGTCTTTCACAAATGCATACTTATGGCTGTTCAAAATATATGCAGACATGCTTGGTCTATTACCTTGTCAGTAATAGGTGTCAAACAGTAACAGAATAAGGAGTTGAGGCTGCATATAAGCTGCAAATACTTGAAAGTTAAGAATACAAGAAGAGCCATGCCTGATCAGACCAAGAAGCCATTCTTGTTCAATCAGTGATCAACCAATTGGAATGCACTGGCAAATGGGAAAGAACCTGCAAAAGGAAGTGCACCAAATAGGGTAGGCTTTGCCCCCTTAGTAATGCAAGCCCCTGAATTTTAAGCACTACACTGACATTTCTCAATACCATGTACCTTCAGACACTTCCCAAGTCAGGAAGACCCAGAAAAGATCTTGAGGCCATCCTCTCCTTTTGTGGCTCTTTTTGCAGTTTCCTTCCTTCCTTCCTTCCTTCAAAACATTTCTATGCCACCCCCATCGCAACAAAGCCTCGGGGCGGCTCACAAAGAATACATAAAAACATACATAAATAATAATAATAAAACAATTTTAAAAAAACATTTAAAAACCCCTGGTGCATTCTCGGCTAAAAATTTTAAAATCCTAATTAATTCAGTAATTTAACAATAAAAATAAGTTTTAAATAAAAAGATCTTAGCCTGGCGCCAAAAAACAAGTAACTTAAAGCTGTCAAAAATGCCAACAAGGAAACTGGATGGGATGGAGTGGCTGGAATGATATGGGGAGGTTCTCTATTTATTCCATTTGGCATTGTCTAAGATTCTATTCTTAAGTGCACTGGAAATCTGCACTTCTTGGAAATGCGCACATATTTCAAAGCTTTTTATTAAGTGAGGGGAAACATGCATAATTTTCAAATATGGAAATTAAAGAAGAAATAATGCAGATTTCCAAAACTTCATCTATACAAAAGTTTAAAGAATGGAAATATAAACCAGAACCTCCCTTCCCCAGTATACAAGACCAAGATAGAGTGTGCTGAGGCAGAAAATGTGAGTTTGAAAAACCAGACTAAGCAAAAACAAGACCTTCCCAAAGAAAAAACAGAATAAAATTAGATGGTGCCTGCAGAAGCCACTGATGTCAAACAGCTAAAGCAGCCAACTATATCACCAAAAAGGCAATGGAGTGTCAAGGAACTGTGGTGCTACAGATTCCAAACATGAGGCTCTCTTTCAGCATTCAAGTTTCAAAAACCTGAGCAACATGTGGCAAAAGAGGCCTAAAGCAAGAGTTGTTGCTGAACCTTTTAAACTAGCACTGTAGATAACCTAGAGTGTATTTTCAAAAATCCCAGAAGTTGCACCAATCCTGCCCATAAGACTTATTTATTTAGAAAACTGTGATTGCAGAAAGAGGGCCAGGGTTGACAATAAACCCCTCTGATGCCAAAACTACTAAAATGCCTCATACCCACGCTTCTTCATCTTCCACCTGCTAACCATTAGTAGGGAGGTTAGCTGAGGAGAGTTGTGTGATAGAATTCATGGTGGATATATAGATTTTAAAAATTAAAATATGGAGTTTTAATTTAAATTGATTGGTTTAAAAAAATAGAAACTCTCACTTGAAAGTACTGAAGTTTAATTTCATCATAACCATGTTCAATTTCAATCTGCACTTGCAGTCTCATACAGTTACCTATGAATCAAACATGGGCATTAATTTCAATTTGCAGGGCAAAGCAGGACAGCAAAACTATATAGAAGAATGGATAAAAACCCAAAAGTCAGATTTTTAAAGGCTTAAATTGGATTTTTTTTTCTGACCAGTAACTATCAAACCTTGCTTTGAGCTATCATTTTTGTTTGTTGCCTTGTTTTTTGTGTGGGCACAGTTGTGCCAAAAGAGAGTGAGACAGGAAGGAGCAACAATGGAAAGAAAAAGACAAAATTCTCCAGTGGGCATCTTTCTGCATTCCCACACTAAGATTGCAATTTAACACCCACTCATCAGAGAGAACACCCCACCGAAAACTACTGCAGAATCAACATCTATCCCATGTTGTTAACCTCAAGCTGTCACGGGTACTGCTCATAAGACCAACTGCAGCTGGAAAAAATCTTAAAGACATTCCCTCTATAAGTTAAAAAAGCATGCCAAATATATGTAGAGAGACAAAGAGATGCAACGTCTGCTTGTAAGAATGAAACAGTGTGAAGTTTACTCTTTCTTATGCTATTTAGTTGCCAATTAACATGACAGTGGTCAGACATGCACTGTTCAGGAAATGCATGAAAAAAGATAGTTGGAACTTTCCAATGTAAATCAACCTTTTTTCTTGCTGATTCAAATTAGCTTTATTTAACTCAAACCAACCTAGTTGAACTTGACCTTACCGTGATGGTTCCCTTCTGCTCAGATGGGAATGGCAAGTACTGGACTGATAAAATACTATCTGCAGGAAATCCTTACCTCCATGATATGGAGAAATCTATCTTCAGAAGGTGGATGTGTTGCCTGCAAAATCCGCCAGATGTGCTGGGTCTCATCCAGAGATACTTCTAGGAGATCTCCTATCATCATTAGATCTTCTAACTGCGATTTGGCTCCAGAAGACAGTTCGAGCACAGGTGGTTCTAAACTGCGAGGTACTAGGGGACTTTTACGGGGCTGCTTCCTTGGGGTGTTGGAACCTTTCAGGGAGAACCCAAGATAACACAGGACAAAGTGGAGGAAGTCATATATTTTGATTTTTCATTAACAAAAAAGTCATATATTTTGATTTTTCATTAACATAAAAAGGATTAAGAATTTTTAGAATTTTAAAGTATTTCAACAACTCAATTTTTTGGTAACTGACAGCAAAATTTGCTATATAGTGAGGCATATAGTCACTTGTACATTCAAACATTGCAGTGGCAAGCCAGGCCTACTTGAGTGCAAAACAGTACTTTGGGGTAGAACAATCCTTTAGATTCTCCCACCTATACAGAAAATACCATTACCTTGAGAGCAACTTTTAGAAGCTGATGAATATGCATGCTCAGCACAGAAGGATGGTGCTGTCCACATGTGTGTTACGACTTCTTCAGATTTGATAGGAATTTCTTCATCACAGAAGAGATTGGGCTCCAGACTGCTAGAAGATTTCACACTGGCATTGTCCTAAAACAGAGCACACCACAGTCACAGCAGTACAGAATGGAATCTAGCCATCCTGTTGAGACTCCCCTTGCACATCCATTCATGGAAACATAACCTTTTTTTGTTTATTTTTAATCACAGCAGTGGACAGCTTAAAGAAACATAAATACTCCAGAAATGATGGGGAGGACAATGCATTTTTGCTCATTTCCAATCTGCTAATCCAACCACAATTTGTAAAATCCTTGCAAACATTAAACAGACCTTGGGTAATCCTGGAGTATCAAGCAACATGATGGTAACCTACACTTAAATTGGTAGAAGTTTCACTGAGGAATAAAACTAAAATTATCACCACTGTTCTGAGATTTTAATTGCAGTACTGACCTTTATGTCATAGCCATATGCTTCCCTGATGTCTTCGTCTGAATCTGTCTCCTCATCATCATAGTCCATAGTTTGTCGTGGAGATGATGACACACTACTCATAGCCCGGTTAAAGCCAGACTGCTGAAAACTAGTCAAGTGGCCCTAAGGAGTGAAAGAAAATTCATGAAGAAAACAGGATCTCCAATAAAACATGTACAAAGGAGGCAAGAAAATTAGAGCAAAAGATCTCCTTTATTTGGAGGTTTTTTTGGCCTTTAGATGTAATTCAGATGCTAAGATTTCAGGAATAAGACATGAAACTTTAATTCTCATCCTTATGAAGAAAACTGTGGGGATTCTAAGTATTTTTCTTTATCCATAGCTCCTGAGAGCATCTGAACAAATAGTTTCTTTACCATCCAAACTGAACATTTAGTAACTTTTCCTAAATAATCTCAAAATGCAAAACAACTACAAAGAAGTTGCATTGGGCACTGCATTTCAGTGGTCAAAACTTTACGTGTAATTCAATATCGGAAATATTCAGTTGGTCCAAGAAAAAAATAAACTAGAAAGAAGAAATGCCGATTATCAACCCTTAATATCTGCTCTTACAAGATTTTCAAACTCAGGTGCATCTCCCTTATGAGCATGAAGAGGAACCAGGGAATATAAAATTAATAAAGGTATAGAAAAAGGGAAGAGGAATAAAACCGATAAAGTTTTAAAAAAAGAAGAGAAAGGCTGGCTTGATAAAGTATTATTACTAACTCTTCAATCGCAGAGCTATACTCCCATAAATAAAGCAATATGCAAGTAGGCTTGCAAGCAGTCCTTATGTTTTAAAAGCTGTCCGGTTTCTAAAGTTCGAGAATTTCCTGCACTGAAATAGAGAAGTTTTATTCTTGAATTATTATGATACATAAATTGCTTGCTGGTCAATCTATATTCTTTGTGCCTAAGGTAAACTATGATTTGGCCACTTTCCTACACTTGTAACAACTTCAGTTCATTACTGAAATCAAAGTACCTACTCCTATTCCAAGTGACTTCTCCCCATGAATGGTGTCACCTTATTTTGTAAGCCTTTCAAGATATCTAAGGGGGAAAAAATTCAAAACATTGTGGTCACAGAATGAAAAAAAAATTCAGACCAGACTGAATGACTGTTCTTAGTATACATTTGAAAGAAACAGCAATTACCTCCAGAAAAAGGGAAAAAAGTATTACATGCCAAGAAACTAATGAACAGACACAGTAATATACTGCTTAGCCCTCCTACCTGTAGATCAGGATTAGCTGCAGCCTTCTGGAGCTCTGCACTAATTATTTTCTCTGTTTTCTCCCGTGCAGCCTGTTCCACCATACGCTGGCTCAACACGGAAAGCTTGGCCAATGCAGAGGACAGTTCATCTGTAGCAAGAGCTTGCCGTGCTCGGTCCTGCCAACTCATAGCCCGCTCTGTCAAGCATTGCAATGCTTCACCCTCTGGCAGTCGCACTGGCAGCTTTTGCAAGGACACCAGCAGGGACAAAATGGTCTCAAGTCGTGGCCTTCGAGAGCGCATACAAAGTGGACACAGAAACTTGACCTCTTTGGCGGGCCAACTTGAGCCCTTCTTTTGGGAGCTGCTTTTGGGAAGGGGTACACAGGTGCTGTGAAACCAGTCTTTGCAGAGTTCACACTGGAGCATAAACCCACTGGCTGTTTTGCGGCAGATGCAGAACTTTATTTCCTCAATGCGATCCACCATGGTCATCTTTGCCAGGTTAGCTTCCCTGAGGGCATGCATAGCTTCAACCTCCTTCTGTTCCCGGTCCTTGAAAACAGCCACCTATTCAATAGAAAGAACAACTGAAAACACTTACTTTACTTGCTAACCCCACAAACCTGTCCTTTTACATTGATGAGTTGGCCCTTCTACCTCCTTGGACCCTCAAAGCAATGTACATTTTGAATAAAAAACACCTCCATGAAAAAAAGCTAATACATCAAAATAATCAAAACACAGAATCAAAACCTTTAGTACAGTAAAATCAGAGTAAAACCTTAATCATTAAGAGCTTGATAAACAAATAGTATTCACTGCCCATATGAAACTTACTAAACACTGAGGCTACTCTGGCCTCCCCGGTAAAGAATTCCACAGGAGGTGTGCTGCTGCAGAAAAGTTCTGCCTTGAGAAACTACCAACATCTGCTCTAGGTGATGAGACTCTTAACAGGACTTCTATAATTGTAGAATATGGTCAGATTTATATGAGAAGAAGCAGTTTATCAGGTATCCTGGCTCCAAATCATTTAGGGCTTTACAAGTAAAAACCAGCACTTTGAATTGACCTCACAGACCAACTAAAAGGCAAATTAGGTGATTCAAGAACAGTATCAGATAGTCTAACACTCTTGCTGGACAATTAACTGGTTCTGTATTTTCTGCTAACTATAATTTCCAAATACTTTTCAAGGACATTCCTCAGGAAATGTGCAGCTGGCACACAACCTGCAGCAGTGATCTCTGCTGGCTGACCTTCCAAAGCAGCACTCAATCCAAGAGCAGCCACAAGCTGCACACCTAGCATCCCCACCCCCAAAAAAAAAAAAAAAAAAAATTTGACTCCTTCTCACTCCTACCTTGGGTGCTGACTGAACAATAGGCAGATTAATTCTGAGGAGCTGTAAGTACTTATTACAAATTATATTTATGTACCACCAAATTACAATTAGGAAGGAGAAAGAAAGTAGAAGAGAATATATGCAGTTCAAGGAGTAGCCTCTCCACCAAGAGGTAGGGGAAACTGAAAGCATATAGATACTTTAAGGGAGTTAACATTCCATATAACTCACTCTGTAAATTGTGGGTACAGCACAGAAGCTCTTTGGCTTAGAACAGGTAAAAACAGTACTGGGTGTTGCACTGTCTTTTCCATTCTAGGAAAGTGGCATCCATGATGGGACGTGCACAAGGCAACGAGTGGAATATGGGAGGGCAGAGGCTGAGACCCAATATGCAGCACCCCCTGCTGCAGTGATCTGAGATTTGTGAAATATTGATGAGACTTTTGGGATGAACAACAGATCAGAATGGAGTGCTAGGTAATGCCTATGAAAAACACAAAGGTAATCTCTCACAGAAAGAGCCACCAGGTCTGAGATTTGTCTGGCAAACATAATTGCTAGCAGGAACCTTTTGGAAAAGAAGGCTAAAAGAAATAGCCTTAAATAGGTTTAAGAAGTTTATAGGAAGGGTTGGTAAGAGCCAAGGGTATAACCTGTAAACTCAAGGTGCAGTAGAATCTGTTTTCAGATTATGCTTGGCATGTGTATACCACAAAAGAGTTCTGTTGTGATAGGAAAGACCCAGACTTAGTGCTGAAGCAGCCAACATAGCACATTAACTCACAGCCCCATTTCCAAAAGTTACTTGCAGGACGTAACAGACTTCCTAAATGCTTGCTTGCTTGTAATTGACACCTTTCTCCTACACTTTCTCCTACTGGCTTTCCTTGTTAACTTGTAAATAAGGTCTAACAATATGTCAATGAATTTAGCAGGATATCCTAGTATAAAATAGTCCTGCTGTTCAGAATCCACCTAATTAACTACAATGCTACCTGAGTCCAGATGCACAACTAAACGAGATGCACAACTAAATGCACAACTAAATGAGACAACTAAATGCACAACTAAAGAGAAAGACACAGTTGGAAGGAATCAAGGATTCCCACACATCAATTTCAGGACTGCTGAGAACCACAGCTAGCAGTACCAGTGTAGAGTCACCAGAAGTATCCCTGGTTGTGCCTGCTGAACCTTTTGCAGAACACTGGCAATTAAAGTGCTGTGCAAAAAGACATGCCGGTGTCTTTTTGACCAGACAGATGTCACTGCACTGTACCTACAGGTGTAAGGAACCTGTAGAAGTACCTGTAGAGCTTGTTGTTGTGAAGGGTAGCAAAAATGCCTATTAGTACTGGTCCCAAATTCTCCAGCATGAAGATGAAAACTACTTAATATGGACACCATTCCCCTGGAATGGTCTGTAACCAGCCAAGGAAATCAGCTTGCACATTCAATATGCACTGAGCCAAACTAGACAGAAGATTTCACTCTTCCCAGAGCAGAAAGTGTATTGCCCCTGATGAAGGGTAAGCAATCTTATCCCACCTTGCCTGTTCGGATATGTCTCTGCAGTGGTATTATCAACACACATCAATCTATGTTTGTTTGTAAACCAGTTTAAGAATCTTATGCTAGGAGGATTAAGAAACCTACACAAATTTATCCTGGTAGTATGTGCCCCAGCCATTGAAACTGTCATCTGTGGTCATAAGTGATTTGTGACAGATCCAGTAGTAGGGTGTCTTTCTGTAGGTGAGAAGACTTCTCCCTCCAAATTAAGGATTTCCTGACCAAAAGTGGAAGGAAAACTGAGGCGTTTCTTGTAAGCAATGCAGTCCTTCTATGGTAATAGAAGCCATTGTTGAGCTTGTGAATGGAATATAGCACATGAGAGGATCCCTAGGCAACATGATATGAAACGTATGAGGTGGATCAGCATCATGTTTGCCTTTTTTATTTCTTAGGACTGACAGCCTCCTGTAGTTTGTGAACAAGATCCTGTACTGTGTGGCTCATGGTGTCCAGATGTACCATTCTCTGTGCTGGGACCAGCTGCAGCCTCTTTTTGTATTTGTCAGAAAAACAGAAGCAGATTCAAAGAGAAAGAGTAAGGAGATATGGTATTTACAGGCATATAAAATACAGACAGAAATATCAGAAAAGACTGAAGCAAACTGAATAGTCTCAGAGATTGCAAAAAAAGAAATCACAGAAAAGGTTGTTTAGAAGCTCTGCCTGGACCAAAAACAGGGAACAAACTGGAGAAAAGAGCCAGATGAAGGGATCAAGCAAAAGCCTAGTTATGTGCTTCTTAACTTGCCCTAGGTGGAAGCAGGGCATAACCCATTGCAGGTGCCTCCTTGCTACAACAGGGAGAGAAACAGACCCACTTATCACTGGAATAATTAAATCCAGCACCCAAAGTATATTTGTGTTGTTCACACAGGTTAAACTGAACTACAAAGCAACATGCCCACAGCTTAAATCTCAGTCCCTCCGTAAACACACAAGGTCAGTCACTCTCTCTCAGCCCCATCTTCAATATGGTGGTGAGGTAATGCTACTGAGTTGCCTTTACAAGATTGCTAAGGATTACAAAGCAGGTAGTGGACATGAAGCACTCTGAGCACAGAAAAGCACTAAACAACATTTGTATGAATGGAGAAACAATCATATTTTGTAATGGGATTTCCTATACATTTGTGGTTAGGAACTGAGAAATAAACAACACTTCAGCTCATCTAAATGGTATATTTCCTTGTAGTGAATGAAAAAGGCTTCACCGCACATTTAGATCATTCTTTGCTTCACAGACAGCTTTATGCAGTTATTTGTATCAAAAAAAGAGCATATATTTCGGTTTGGATAATGGAGAAATAAAGTCTGCAGACAGTACATTTTATGCTTTGAAACACATTTTGTTGCTGAAGTTGACAAACTTCAGTTTATTATATGGAAAACTTTGTTTCATACTAGTGGGCACAGTTTAGGCTGCACAAAGTTCTGCCAAAGGAGGAAAGCCAATAGTAACCTAAAATGGGCTCAGATGCTTGCTGCAGGTTCTCAGCAGTGATTATCAATGGGTAAACATACAACAACTGCAATTCCTCACCACAGCTGCAGTGTCCCTGGTCTCTTCCAGACCATCTTCTAGTTCACTCAAGGACTCCATGTCAAGATCCTTTTCTTTTTCCTTCTCTATTAGCTCCTTTGCTCTTTTTCGCCTATTCTTACTGTTGCCATAAACGCCAATATCAGTTCGAGGACTCAGAACCTGCAAACAGAATGCTAAATGGTTATAGGCTCAGATATATAAATAGTTCTACAAAGTCCTGAAATTCTGAAAGACAAAATTTCATTAGAAAACAGACTTAGCCAAGATTTGCCATGGGAAATAGGCTTCAGTCCATATTCATTTTTAAAAGATTTGTGCTAGTTAGTAAGGTGAATCATTCAAAATATTTCAGTTTCTTTTTTAAAACCAGCCTCTTTCTACAGAACTGACATTTCTATTTTCACTTCAACCCTGTACATATTCTCAATCTATGACTGAAAAGCATTAAAGCATCAAGGAAGCATTACCGCTGCACTAGAGATAGGTGGCCCAACAACCCAGTAACCCATTTGCCACTTATAAAACCATGTAAAGAATGCTTCCCTTGGACCTGGTACAGGATTCCCCATCACTAACCTGCAGGAGTGTGTAGTTTGAGTTCTTTTTCAGGAATGTTCTGCCTGTGCGCTCCCTCCATGCACGGGCTGCTGCTACCTGTGAGTCAACTTGTGGTAGAGCATCAAGGCGGACAGGTATCAGGCGGCCTTTTGCAGACAGATTTTCCAGCTGCTCTAGATATGCATAGTTGCTTCCATTCTACAGGGTGAAGAATAATGCTCAGTTAAACATTCCTATCACCACAGCAAACTGAATTTCTCCCCAACTTAGAGCCACAGCTGGATTTCAAGACTTGCATTAATTAAGAATATGCTTTTCTGTATTACTTCTCCCAGGACCAATACTAAAATTCAATGGTTAAATACAATACAATCACATACAAATCAGTGCAACAGTACAACAGGAGGATAAAATAAAAGCAGCATAATAAAAGCTGGTTAACCAAGGGTTAGAAAGAGGGACAGAAAATACAAGGATCATTCTCTGGTATGGAAAGGAAATGGCAACAAAAGGAAAGTGCTTTATCCTCGGTCTGATAATTTGGCCAACCAGTCTAGTACCGTTGGCAAACAGATGCAGTTCTTCAATGACTCAGAGAGACGTCTTTCATATCAACCTCTATTTGATATGTTTAACTGAAGGGGCAGGGACTGAACCTGAGACTGTCTACATGAAAAGCACATACTTTGACTTGGCCATGGTCTGTCCCCATAAAGGCATAAACAGGCCATTAGCATCCTTCCCTGGAAAGGGTTTCAAAGGGAGGGCATCACAACCAGAAAAGCCTTCTCCTTGGTAGCCACCTGCTTGGCCTCAGAAAGTGGAGAACAGGCTTCAAGCATGGCCTTAATGTGCAGGTGATCTTGAGCCATACCTTATTCTATCAATTCAGTATCTAATAACAAACACATATTAAATAATTTATCCCATACATTTTTCTAATAGCCTTAATTTCAATTTATATTTGTTTTAAAGCTCACAATTCCTGAACTCCCACCTCTAAATTCCAAATAATTTCATTAAAATCCCCTGCCTTTTGAGAACACGCAAGATTACAGAGGTGTAGAAATAGAAATAAAATACAACTAACTTTGCTTAAGCAAATGTAGCAACAAAACCCAAAGTTTAAAAGACAAAGGGCACAGTAGCTGAGCCAAATACAGTTTGGGCTAATACCAATTCATTAGGCAGAGGGCTTCATTGTTCAAAATGCTCACACTCAGCACCACCACCGAGTATCTACCCTTAAATTTTAAAGTTCAGAGAACTGAGTGTAAAGTCCTATCACACTTAAACACAAACTCTGCAAACTAATGGAATCTTGGCTTCATGAGAAGAAAAGAAAGCTACAATAGCACTTCTGAGAATGCTATCATTTTATTCTTTTTGTTTTATTGCTATATTATTTTATTGTTAGCTGCCTTGGGTATCTCCATGGAATGGAACAGAAAGATAAGGATTAGAAATATACTACTAATAAAAAGAACACTATCATACACTGCTGGAGGCAACAGAATCAATTAAAAAGTTCACAGAACAATAAAAGGGGTAACAACTAACAGATCCGATTTCAAAACCTATAAAGCAGTACTTTTGAGGAAGAAGGAAGCAAATGCTTGTTTTGAAGAATCCAATTTACAGATTCTGTATTGCTTGCATTTAACCATACCTGAATGGCTTCAACTATGGCTGTCCAGTCTCGAGCTCGCTGCAGGGCTTCTCTCAGTGCCAGCACATTGGGTAAGTAAGCTGGGATATTCTTTGCTTCATTGACAATGCTCTCCAGAGCTGCAATGCTTTGTCGAGGCCTACAGATGGAGGAAAAGATGATAACCTGGTTGGCAAATGTTCTGGTTGTATCAGTGAAAGCCCTGACTAAAGCAGGACTGTATCACACATCCATCACCTCAAAGAGTGCTAAAACAATGCATTCTGCATGGCAGTATATGTACGTATTCTACTTGCAGTGCATTCTTCAGAGTGGCCACTCTATTTCACAACTACCCTGTAAGAAAGGTAAGGCTCAGAGTGACTTGCTCAAGTCCAGCCAGTACATTTCAAAGCAGACTAGATATCAGAAACAACTAGTCACCATGGTCTAGTTCTAGCACAACACTCTTGATTCCTGTAACTGAATCAACTTTCTGTGATCCCTACTCTATCAGATTAGATTATGATAGACTAGGGATCTATCAGCAGGACTTAGCTATAATCCCAGTTTTTATTAGTTGCATGAAGTTGCAATACTAAGCACAAGTCACCTATTTTGAGAAGTTATATTTTATTACATAGAAATAGTTCAACTTTTCAATGGTATACTATCCTTCTCTAACACTGCAGATAGCTTTATGTAAAAATGGTAATTACACATTGTCAGCAAGTAAAACCTTGCTTAGTAAGCATTTCACTCATCCATAAGGGGAAAGAGTTCTTATTTCTAGTGTTACTCCAAACTTATTTTCCCATAGGAAAAATGGAAGCACAAAGTCCCAGCAAAACTAGGGAAAACCTTTTCCTGAATCAGTCCCCCTGCCCCAATACATCTTCACATCTCCAGAAGGTCTTAAAATTTGATTTTAATAGGAAGTTGCCAGACTGCAACTTACCTGCCCCAAGATGCAGGCAGGTAAGATAGGAACTTTCTGGTCTCTTTTTCTAGCCACAAGCGTCCAAGGCAGGCAGGCCACTGCACAGACATATTTATGGCTGACTTTGAGTGAAGCTCAGCCATTGGGAGGCCAAGACTTATTTTAGAGGTACTGTAAGCAGCGAGCAAAACAACCAAGAGGAATACTCACCGTGCTTGGAGGCAAACTTTGGCTTTCTCTTCCCACCTCTCTGAAACCGTCAGCAGCTCTTGCAACTCAGCCATGGCCTTCTCCACTGCATGATGTGGTGCCAGCCCTACTCCCGAGTCAATCAGTTTCTTCATCACATCCAAGGTGACTCTTTGAGGATCTGACAGGGTCACTCGCACTTCATCCAGCCAACGGGCCTGCTGTAACTCTTGCTTCAGGCGAGGCAATTCAGGAAGTTCTACATAGAGGCCAGTGCCCATGTCTATTAACATCTGCAGCTTGGCTGAATCTGGGACTTCATCCATCATGGCCTCCTGAGCACGGTCATGAAACTCTTCAACATCATCTAGCAAGTTCTAAAAGATATGGAACAACGTGATCATTCAGCACAGTAATGGTATGTGCCACTAACTCCAAAGGGATTCCTAGGTGTTTAGCTAGGTATATATAGAATAAACCAAATGTTCAGAATTGAGGCATGAGATCTGATGCCAAGCCAGTTATAACTAGATGGGCTTGAGGTTGCTCCATGAAGGCTCTGACAGATGACAAGGGAGACACAAGAACCACACTGCCCTGTGTGCTTTGACTGGATTAGCAAACAGAGTCCTAAGTGACTAGACCCAGGCTCTGTTATGTTAAACCTGAACCGCACCATTCAAAATACTTTTCTCAACTACTAAATCCTGGAGGTAATCTAGGCCAGGTTAAATATTGCCCCTTCTTCATTTTTCTGGGATACTATAGTGGCCAGTGCACTTCCAATGTGGCTTTATTCTACCTTTAAATCTAGGTTGTAGGAAAGGAAGTTTTTAAAGCAATATTAGGGGGGCATATGATAGTTTGTAGATCCATTAATAAACAGAATATTGTATATTATTAAACATATCTACCAAGTGCACAATATTTTTAGGTTGTCCCTGAAATTATCTGTATGGAGTTTCAGAAGTATGTGCTAATTTATAGAATATTAATCTCAAACAAGGGAGGGATGTTCTAAAAAGATCCTTAAGACAATCAATGCAGAGCCTTCCCCAGATACCCACCTTTACTTGCCGTGCTTGACTTATAACACAGGGAAGACTAAATAGCTGTTGGACAAATGCTTTCAGTTCTTCCACAGTCAGTTTAGTCCGTGTCCTTCCACTCTCTGGGGTCAGTCTACTACATGGAAAGAAGAAAACTTTGTAAATCCCATACATAACTCCTGAAAAGCTGCAGAGTCAATGAACAAGTCTTTGTAAATTTCTGAAGGGCAAGGTAACATCCCTTTCATAAACAGAGACATTGAAAGAGTTTGAGACTTTGCCATTGATACCAAAACCTGCTGTTCATGATAGGAACTATAAGAAAGTCAACATGTCATTAATATAAATGCATATCCTGCCTTTTCTATCAAACTGTTCAAAGAGACAGTAATTTCACAAGTACATACAAAATACAACCAAACTTAATACAGCAACAAACACAAATAAAACAATTACAGCAAATAGAATAATATCCCAAATCCAGAATATATCAGTGTTAAAGCCTGTTAGAAGCTTCACCTCATACCTAGAAGCCATTAATCTCTTGCATCAGCTTCAGATGAATATGTTTGGGAAAGTCATTTCCCAGAGAACACTCTATCCACAGCAATCATCCACTTAACTTCTGACAGTGGGGTATTCAGAGCAGAGACTTTATCAATGATCTTGACAAATGGGCGTGTTCATGCAAGACAAGGCAGTAACTCAGGCACCCATGTCCCATTCCAGTCAGGGATTTCTAACTGACCCCAGAAACAGACTGCAAGTCATGGAAGTTCCTTAAGCACAGGCAAAATATGATCAACACTGGCCATATTTTGAACAAGGTAGTTTCTGAAGCCTTTCCACAGGCAAATTTAAAACCTTGCTCCTGTTCTTTAATTGTCTCACTGTTGCTTCAGATACTTTAGTAGTCAGGCTTTCACAATCCTACCAAACTACCTGAAAGCATTCTTTTGATTAATTTTTCCCCTGAATAACCACCCAACAAACTTACCACCACATATTCTGATAGAAGAGAGCACATTAGGAAAGGAGGCACAATTTATTCTGATTACAGAATCATAGGTTTTGTGTTACTGATTTTTAAACTTATTTTCATGCAAAAACAATCAAACTGCCACAATTCTGGGTAATACCTGTGCTTTTGCTTTTTGCTTAGAAGCAGTTGGGCTACTGAAGCACAAGTCTCCGCCTCTTTCACAGCATCTCTCAGCTTGCGGAAGAGGTCATTTTCTGGATACTTTCTGTCTTCAGCATCCTCCAACATCACCCTCAGTTCAATCACATCTGCAACAAATTAGCTAACAGGTAATTTTCAAAAGCATTGCAATTACTTTCCCCTAGATCCAAAGAACAGTATAATTAATCTACTCAAATCATCATAATTCAGCATAACAATCAGTTCATTATGAGCTATTTTCCTGCACCAAGACCTCTTGGACATGAGGTGTGGAGGCAGGTTGGCAATCAAAAACTTCTACTAGTTAAATTGACTGATTAACTTGCCTGATAGCTACTCCAAATCAGAGGAATCTCTCACCGAGGTAAGTACACCAGTTTAAGACACTGGCCAACTGGTCCATTTTTTTAAAAGGAACAAATAAAAGCTAAGCACATCATAATTATGCTTAGCATATAAGTTGTTTAAATAAATAAATAATTGAAGGGGCAAATATTTTAGACACACCTATTATATAATTCCATATTATGCATATGGAGAAGTACTTTGTGCTAAATGAAACAATTATCCACTGGAGCCTTAATGGAGAAAACTATGGAAGCAACTTCACATACCATACCAGCAACACTATCTTTGTATGACCCTGTCCCAAACAGCAACCCTTCTATATTCCTTTTCACAAGCTATGCCACAAGCCCAGCTTCAAAAAGCAAGTTTGGGATAAATTAAGGAGCCTGTTTCATGTTTTTCAAAAAGGTGTCTTGCAGAGACATGAAGGAATGTTAAATAATGTGCTGACTTTAAAATAGAACCAAATACGCAATCTTCTACTGTTGGATTTAAGCATACATTAACATGTTTGCAATAGTGAAGTATTTCCTTTAGTATTTCTCCTTATGGAGAAATATCTTCTTATGGTTTTAAGGCAAACATGCAGAACCATGTGGGGTGGGAGGTGCCAAATACCTTTGTGCCAAACCTTTGTGGGTTGTATAATATCATGTGGGCATGATCACACCCACCCCATATGATTTGTTCCTAGGCTTGTGTCAGGTTTACTTGAGCTAGGGACAAAGATTTGCTGCATGTAGGGCAAAGCCAAGTGGACTCAGCTGGCTTTGCTTCACTATACATGCCCTGTTCTGTGCCCGCAAATGCCAAGGCCCTGTGTTACCTTTCAAAGAAATAGTCAATTCAGTTCAAAGGTCAAGACTATATAGTTCATGCATCCAGAGTTTAAATCGGGGGTGTCCAAAAGAATGCCCAGGAAGCAATCCAAAATCTAGGTACCAATTATTCTTAATTGAAGTCAAGCATGCCTGTAACAATTCTTGTTGTTTGCTGCAAAGAGCAGATTCTGGCTGATCCAACATATAGCCTGCCGTAAATCAGTACAGTTGGCTAACTTGGTCAGCATGTTGCTTTATGGGAGGCTCCATGCTCAGCCTGCTGCTTGAACTTCTGCTGCATCTATCAACTCCTCCTCCTTTCTAAAGAGTGAATTCCTTTGAACTCTGGCTCCTGCCCTTGAGGAATTCCAGGCCCTTGCTGCTTCTCTAATGGAAGCCAGTTGGCTGTAGCCTCAACCCCTGCATCTGACTGTGACTGGGGCCTGCTCTGCCAGCTCTTCGCCAGGTAGAACATGACAATACATCAGGTTTTTACTGAATGCAGCAAAGCAGAGTTCAATCTGTTAACTTCCATCTGTGATCAGAAAAAACAGCAGGGATTGTTGTACCTGTCTCCCTGGGTAAATCCCAAAGTTTTTGCCTAGTTGCATTTACAGAATGCTGGCAATTTGTCTCCCCACTTTTTCTTCAACTCCTGGTAGGACTGGAATTGTGAAGAGGGTGGGGCTGGCAAGACCCACACATGTAGCACGAGCCACTGTGGGCTGATGGTTCTACACACCTGGTTGAAGAATTTGGTTTTGCCCAAACCAATCTCCAATGTGTGCTGTTCAATCAGGTGCCAAAGACTGCTCTTAGCAAATTTCTACAGGAAACAATGTTGTATCTAACCTTTCTTGTGGCTGAGGTTAGCAGACAATGCCTCTGTGACCCTGCTGACCCAAGTATCGTAGGACTGTGCTCTGACTTTCACTCCATACAACAGTGAAGGGAAATCCTCTAGTGGATACCGGTATCTGGAGGTAAACAGCAGAAGGAGGTTTCAAGCATATTGTAACTTTCAGATCTGGGAGAAGTAAAGAGGTGGAGATGATGATGATAATTGATAACATCCTTTATTTTGTCAGACTAATATATACTGTAGTTCTATAGCTAACAGATGACCTTAATACAATGTGTCTTAGTGAGAGTGCGCAAAAAAACAAGCAAATCTACAGGAGGCAGTAGTATGGATAGGGGCCATCGGGCAAAGCATACCTTAGACACTTCTTCTGCATAGTGCATGAACACAAATCATTGGGATGATATAAGCATACCAGGCGCTCAGGGTTACAGGAACATGTAAGAGCAGACAAGAAACATGTAGTCCTACAGGCTGCACACTGACGCTCATCATCTGGAACCAGCTCAAACACTTCCTCCTCTGACATCAGCACCCCCTAATGAAAATAAGGTTATATCTGATAAGAAATCAGGTCAGGAGATGATCTTTCTTTTCTAAGGGCTTACACATTTTCTTTGCTCAACTTCAAATGCCTCAAAGGCTTCCTGAACTCACCATCTGTACAACAGATTCCCTTAAGCGTGCCTCCTCTTCTGTCATGATAGTCATTTCCTTGCAGACCATGGCAGCCAGCCCAACATCCAAACACTCAGGATCCGCAGCCATCTTGAAGATTAGCTCCTCATGAGAGAACACACAGTGGCGCCTCAGTCGCCGGTAATGACTTACACACTGCCGTCCTATTGGAAGCTAGAAGCACAAATAAAATTTGGTTTAGAGTTATGTCACAGTAGGCTCCTCCACCATGCTGGAGGTCAGAAGGCAAGGAGAAAAACAGGTTAACATAGTCTCATTAAAGACTGCAAGCAATTAATACAGAAATTGTGTCATAGTATTCTTTGGTAGGGTCTACAGAGACCATGGGTAAGTGAAAATGCTTCAGAGTCTACTTGAGAAAAAGATAAGGGAATTGGTTTTGCATGTTCCAGGATCCCAAGGGCACTGCTTCAAATTAAGAAAAAATAGTCTCAAATTGCCTGTTTGAAATCAACCTCTCCCACAGAAGCTCCATATCATTAGTTAAAAACAACAAGAGAGAAAGGCAAAAAAGCAAAACAAAAGTGATGAGGCCTGAAAATAAGCTTCCCAAGAGATAACTTGGAAAGTAGTACTTGGAAAGCCTAATCCAAAGAAACAGGAAATGTGAACACCTCACACGGGAGACAGTAAAGCTATCTAAACAATAGGTGTCTGCTTAATCTTGTGTCGTCTTTAGTTCTTTCTTGCATTTTAATATGACACATAGTGGCACTGTTGTTGGTCTAGAAAATAAGATTAAAACAGCAAATGTTGCATAGCTCTTAGCATGCTGTCAGGACTAAATACTGGACTAGCAAAAACAAGCAAGGTGATCACAGAGATCAGATAACATGAGAAGATTTGAACAAAAGTTTTGGCAACTCAAAGGAAAAATGAAAACAGATCAATTTTCATAATGATCAGTAAATGAGTGATTAATCCATAATATTACAGATTTGTTCTTCTCTGAGCTCCGATTCTAAATCATTTTCATCTGCTTCTGCATAGCATGGAGAACAATATTGTTTTGAAGCTTAAATAATATAACCTTGCTATTCATTTACAATGATGATGATTTCCTGTTTTTAGGTTTTATTTCATCCCCATTTGCCAATTGCAAAAATATATACTTTATTCATTTTGATATGCTGTAACACAGAATTCATATCTTCCAGTGTATATTAGAAATTATTTAATGTATACCTTTTTAAAAAATGTCACAGCACAAAAAGCACTTGAAATTGCTAGAACACCTCTAATTCATACATAATGTGTTCTTCATGGTAAAAAAAAAACATTTCTAAGGTTTCAGGTTTTCCCCAAAGGTTTAATTTTTCCCTTAAATTTCCAAAAGAGAGAACCCTGTGCCTGTGAATAGCAACTCAAAATTTCTGGAAATTTTGCAGGGCTTCAATTGGCATCTAAAATGGATAATGAACCCTATTTTGCTTTATCATCATAACATTTGTTAGTAATGGAAACAAAGCAAGATGAGAACAGGTGGTTTGCCAAATTCTTAACTGATAGCTAAAATGTCAGAATCCACACTAGTCCAAGGTAGCCAAATCCATACTTTAAAGTTTAACCAAAATAATCCTTTATAGATGGGTACTACCTGGCTGTGCTTTATTATATTGCACCGGGCAGTGAAATATAAAATTTATACACATACTGCAAGAAATCAATTAGGTTAAACCAGGTGTACAGACCCAGTCAGCAGTGCAGAAGTTCACAGCTTCAGCAAAGTTGTAGCCTTGATTAAATCCAGAGTGATAGGCACGAGGAAAAGTCACAACAAACTCGCCAGCACACTGATTGGTCCGGTAAACCTAGAAAATCAGGAATGATATGCATAAGATTTGGAAATAGAAGTTTCATATCACAAATCATTAGCTTTTCAGAAGTGTACATGAAAATGAGTTGCTATTATCAGTTTATCAGTACATCATATTTCACTCATACTTCCTCATTTCGACCATTTTAACTGGAATCAGCTGCAACAGATGTTAATGACTCAAAACTCTTTTAAAGAGCTTTGTTTCACATGTTGTAAATTCTCAAAGGAATATCCTTCCATTTTCTGGAAGTAAAATCACTTATTGCTTTCATAAGAATTAAAAGCTTTTTAGAACATAGCATGCAAAGTTTTGCAAGAGCAAAGAATGAAGAAATAACTTATGGGATCAAAGAAAATTAAATCAAATGCTATTTATCTATTTGTTTTATTAGCTTTAAATCCCACCTTTCTTCTTACAAAGAACTCAAGGCAGCTACATAATTCTCCCCTTCCTGCTGTCAATCTTATCCCCAAAACAAGAACCCTGTAAAGTAAGTTGGGCGGAAAGTCTGTGACTGGCTCTCAAAGTCACTCAACTGGTTCCATGGCCAACTGGGGACTAGAAACCGTATCACCTGAGTCCTGTACTCTTAACCATTATACCACACTGGCTCTCTCAATTTACAGTATTTCTGTACTGCTGCACATCCAGATTCCAAAACAGTCAACAGTATGTTAAAACAAAAGAATAAAAACAATACATTAAAATATTCAAAAAGCAATGATCTCACTACTCTTTGAAGTTGTTGTTGTTAGTCGCAAAGTCATGTCCGACCCATCGCGACCCCATGGACATTTCTCCAGGCCTTCCTGTCCTCCACCATCCCCCCAGAGTCCACTTAAGCTCATGCCGACTGCTTCAGTGACTCCATCCAGCCACCTCATTCTCTGCCATCCCCTTCTTCTTTTGCCATCTATTGTTCCCAGCATTAGGCTCTTCTCCAGGGAGTCCTTCCTTCTCATTAGGTGGCCAAAATATTTGAGTTTCCTCTTCAGTATCTGGCCTTCTAAAGAGCAGTCAGAGTTGATCTCTTCTAGGACTGACCAGTTTGATCGCCTTGCGGTCCAAGGGACTCGCAGGAGTCTCCTCCAGCACCACACAATTCAAATATTCTTTGAAGTACCTTCCCTGAAAAGGAGCATTTGCTACTGGACAATAGTCATCAAAAAGTAGTTCCAGAGTGGGTTTTCCCAGAAGTGGTTTCACTACTTAGCTCCTTGAGGACAGATAGCAGAATCAACCCCTTCATGCAAATATCAGTTTACCACTCCCTGGACCCACCCAGTTAGACACCCTCAGCTGGCTTTCATTAGTTGGAAAGGGCAAGGATTGAGAGAATATGTGACCAATCACACTGCTACACACACTTTGTCCATCTCATTAGGTTCTAATAGCTGAAATTGATCCCACAAAATTGAGCAGATTGTGGTATCACATGCTTCAACTGGAGCTGTGTTAACAGCATTCAGTTCATTGTGGAAACCAGTAATTTTACCCTCAAATTTCAATGAAAAAGGGTGAGAATAAGTCTGTGATGGGGTGGGGTCCCATTTGCTGGGGAAAGTGTTAACAGCCCCCAAACCACCCAGAAGAGCCACATGATTTCACAGCAGAGAGAGAGAGCAAGGTAACAATTCTTTGCTGCTTACAGGGCTACACAAGAGGCACAATTATATGCTCTAAGCATGCATAGCTGCCTGTGCTTTGAGTTTTATACCATTTGCCTGTTTCATCAGCTGCAGCTTCCCAGTATATCAAGAAGTAGAGCAGCCCATGGGTCCTCAAACTACATCCCATGGGCTAGATGCAGCCCGCCATGCACATTTATCCAGCCCGCTGCAGAGGTTTTGGACTAGCTCAAAGAAAATGATCTCCGAGAGTCCAAAAGCTCTGAGTCAGCACAGGCATACTCAGTGGGGAGATAGCTGCAATCATGGTCGCACTTGTGCAGGGAAGACAGGCGTGATCGCAGTCATGCTTGGGGGGGGGGTGAAGATGCCTGTGATCGTGCTGGGGATAGAAATGGCCACGATCACGCCCACCCACAAGATTGTGCCTGTTTTCCCTGCTCTATCATGCTCAGGGGAGTGGAGAGATGGCCGTGATTGCACCCGTCTTCCCTGCATGAGTGCAATCACATCTGTCTCCTGCCCCCCCCCCATATGTTCATGGACACTGTAGCCATGTCCCTTGAATATGGACATGCTCTTCCCCACCTCATCTTGGGCTTCTGCTGCATTCCAAGTGAGTGGAGTAAACATATGTTTTTTTAATTAATTTTAATTTTTTAATTTTAATTAATTTTTATGTGCAGTATGCAAAGGAATTTGTTCATTTTTTTTCAAACTATAGGTCCCCGCCCCCCATAACAGTCAGTGAACTGGCCCCGTTTAAAAAGTTTGAGGAACCCTACTCTACAGCACTGGAAAGAGCATTCAGGTGCTATTGAGTCTATGGTCCTCTGTATCCCACTGTTCCACAGTGAGACTAGGGCCTTGGCTGGATCATCAGTTCTATCCACTGGAAAACCCCAAAATAATTCCAAAATATGCTGACTTCCATTCCTTTCCTGGGGCAAACCATCCAAATAGGCCCCTAACCTGACAAGAGGGATGTAATTAAGTATAACCCTCACCAAAAAATGGCCTGAGCATGGCAATAGGGTTACTTGGGGACAATGGAAACACCCTCTCCCCAAATTTTCAAACTACTCATTTCATGACCTGCACAAAGACCAAATCAATGGAATATCCCTCTTCCTATATTGGGTTGATGGTGAACCAAGGTAACCTCATGGAGGCTATTAAGTCCCAAAGCCAGGCCTCCAGAAGTAGCCTCACTGTAGAAACTGCAGTCACCTAGGACCACCAACCTGGGCTTTTCCAGTACCAAGCTTGAGACCACTTCTGCCAGCTCAGTCAAAGAGGATGCTGGGCGGTACACTATGGGTGGTACACTTGAAGCATTTCCAATTTGATTCTGTGGTCCAACACCAGGCCTGCTCCAAGAAGTGTAGTTTCCTGGTAACATCTGAATGCATCAGCAACACTTGCTTCTTCCAAATTGTACTCAAGTTTTTAAAGATCAAAATGTAAAGATCAAAGTGACTGTAATCAAGTATGCACCAGTAATGATTCTGATAACAGGTTTCCAAGTTTCAATTAAAGCATTCTAAGTTCAGTTTTAATAAGGCAATTTTTGTACAGTGCCTAATTCCTGAGCTAATTTATAAATAAAGTATCATCAATATTATAGCAGTTGAACATTAATGTAAAAGGGCACTCCAAGTTCTGATGTAAACTTGCTGGGAAAGTCAAGACAAAAAGCCACACAGTTGCAAGGATGAAACTGAAAGCAAACACCATTGCTTTAATAATTTATTTAAAATATTTTATCCTGCTTCCCATTTAAAGAATGTTCCCAGCAGCTAATAGATTTTAACAAAAATGTTACAGAAAAGTTCATTTACAATAATAGACAAACAGAAAAAATGGCAAAATTCATTATCCAGTGAATCAGTTAACAGTGAGCAGGCCAAATATATGTCCCCCCACCAAAAAAAAAAGGGGGGGTGAAAGGAAGGCCTCTGAAGGAAGCTACAGAGAAATATCTCCCCACAACCCCAATCAAATGTTCGAACAATGTCAAGAGAGTCTCTCCAGAATATCTTAATGAGCAGGCAGGTTCATAAGAAGCCTTACAGTACCTGTTATTTTGATTACAGGCTGTTTACAGATTTAAAGATAAAAGAACAATACTTAGATTTAGGGCTGGAAATGGAATAGAAGCCAGTGAAACTGTCACAAAAGAGGATCCCATAAAATGCCAAACCCAGGTCTGGCCAAAGTTATAACTGTCACTTTTTTCCAAAGATAATCCCATGCAGAGCACATTGCAGTAATTCACATTCAAAGCAAGGCACATGCTACCATGGCTAAATGTGGCCTCTTTAAGAACAGGTGCAGCTAACTAAAGTTCTTCTGGTAATAGTCGCCAGAAGTATCTAGGAGCAAGGTCAGGTTCAGGAGAACTTCAAGTTGCCAACCCATTTTTTTTAATGGGAATGCAACCAAGGATAGGCTGAGCTATTTTCAGATGGTCAGATACTGAATAAAAGCACATCTGTGTTTATTTGGTTAGGTTTCAATTTTCTGTTTCCACTCAGTCCATTACCAATTCAGGCACCAATTCAAAATCAATTTGTGTTAGAGAACTGGGCTTCTTCAGGATATTGGTGACAAACTTTTGGATGCCAAACTTCTCACAGCAGTTTCATATAGATGTTAGGCAGTAGAGAGGACAAGATAAAAATCTTGTGGGGTATCAAAGGCTACCATCTAGAGTGCAATGAACAGCATGATCAAAAGTCACTGAGAGGTCCAGTGAAACTAATTGGAACATAATCCTTGCCCTGTTCCTAGAGGTCCACCTGATTCATCATAATGGAAACTTGATGATGAACTGAAATGGAACTAGAAGGCTTAAAATGCTATTCCAAAGGATTCTACACAACACAAGACAAAAAGACTATAATTAGATGAAAGATCCCACACTACTTACAGGCACACCATGCTCCATCAGTATATTGGGGTTCATGATAGTCACCAGCTGATGCAGAAGATCAGGTTGTGTCTCAAACAGCTCAGGAGCTAGTTCTCGCATCACTTCCTCCAGTTGTTCAGCTGCATGAGAGGGCACTCCATACCATGTCTTTGGCTCTCCCCTAACAGAGCAGATAAAACCATTGCCAACTGAAAGCAATTCTATAGTAAGGTAACCCCCTATGGACCTTCTCAACCCTAATCTATAAACACAGGCCCACTTTTCTAGAAACAATATTCAGACTTTTTCAAAGCTCAACTGAACTGGAAAAATACAAGGATGAACAACTTGTTCATAACTTTCCAGCATGACTATCAAAAGAGGCAAATAGATGTTCACATTTATTCATGCCATGCCAACAAAATTACAGAAATATGGCAGATACCAAGTGATGCAGTGCTTGTTCAGAGATAGTGTAAGAGATAGACCCACAGACATTCTCCTGCTCCTTTCATATATCTGAAATATTTTTCAGTTTAGAGATGTTCCTAATCCTCTTATAAATGTCTTATTTTCTTACAGAAGAGTAACAGTTTCAGTTAGTGTTCTTTTGCCCTGAACAAACAGCTTGTGTAAATTTTGGAAAATGAAAACTGAGCAAATAGGAATGGCTCTCTCATCACTGTCATCCTGGATAGGCATACACACCACCTATGCAGCAAGAGGACATACCAATGCAGGTAGTTGATGGAATAGCTCCAGTGATCCTCAATATGCCAGCAGAAAGAAGAGAAGCACATTCCCACATAAAGCCAGGGCACCTTCATGCCAGAAATGTCAGCATTGATGTGAGCAAGGACAGATTGTTCTAGTACTGGCATATTGTTGAGGTTCCAGCCAGAAATGGCATACTCCTGCCAACAGAAAGAAGAAAGTTTGTAAAGAAAATGGACAGAAGGCAGTTAATGCAATACAACTCCTAGTCTTTTCCACTACCTTTCTAGTCAGGTCATACTGTTCTGACACTCAGACAGACACAAAATTCACCTTCTCAAATATTTTATACACTGTTTAAACTTCTTGGTGGGGGTAGGTGGAGAATATACTCCTCTGAGGGCAAAACTTGCTAACTCAGGCTTCACTTCTTCACCTCAGGAGGCAGAAGCTATGTCTCCCAATATACAAGTCAAACCTCCCAACAGCACCTAATATACATTTTGCTAGTTTGCTTATAATGTTTTCTTAAGCCACACAGATGTCATTACTAGAATACTTATATTCTTTTCATTTTCTCACCTTCAGTTTTACAAAAAAGAACTGGTAGCTTTGGTTCTGCAGACATTACTTCAAGTTCAATTTTCTAACTACGTAAGAGATGATATTAAGACAGTTCTATGTGCAAACACTATTTAACACTGCAGTCTTGTAAAAAAAGCCCTTTCACCATTACAAAACAACTTGAGGAAGGGAGTTGAGAAAAAAGGAGTGCTTAAAACTTTCTAAAACTCCCCCCATGCTTCTGGCCCCACTAAGACTCCAATGCTGGTGGGCCCTACCAGAGTGTTGGCCTGTCCCACCATGCCGGGTGCTAGCCCTAGGCCTAACGATAGCCAGTAAACATGAGAAAGCTTGTTAAGCCACATGTTAAATCAACTGCCTCTCTACCTTGGGTCAGTCACTGAATCTCCACCTAACTCACCTCACAAGGTTGTTGTGAGGATACACTGGAGAGAAGGAAGATTATGTAAGCCGCCTTGGGTTTCTTACAGAAAGAGGCAGGATAGCAATTTAATAAATAAATAAATAAATAAATACTGAAACAGCCCAAACAGATTGTTCCTAAACACAGTGAAAGGGAGCTTTCTGGTATGCAGAGGCACATGTAGTCTGCATCATTGCCACACCTCTTCTTCTGGCATTAATTTTCTCCTGCCATCCTTTATAGGGAAGCCGCTTCCAAAGTCTTTGGATGAAATGTCAGCTCCATACTCAACAATTACATCTTCCTCAATGCTGCTGACTAATCGCCAAAACTCCTTCTCCACCAACTCAGTAGGAACCATCTGAAAACAGAAGAAAGTACATAAAATCGGTCTCTGAAGCTGGCAAGCTGCATGTAAATGGTGCAGAGCAACTCTTAAATCTTTCCAAATTTGAGATGCTTCCCCCAAACCAATAATAACTTGAAATGTTTCCCCCAATAATAAAATACTTATTTTAAGATGTGTTAATTACGTAGGAATGTCTCTATGACAAAGAGAAGAAAATGCAGTATTGAATTTTTCTCAGCAGGTAACTTTAAAGCATAGATGGTGTACCTAGTATGGTAAGTGGGGAAAGTAGTGCCGCACAGAGCTGATTTTCCCTTAATTGTAACATTCAGACAGGAGGAGGAGGAGAAAACATGAATGATTGCTCCCCTTCTTCCTAAAAAGCTGGTTTTCTACATGTAAAGAAGTAGTGTGGTTGGGTGGGCATGAGCAAACAAGCACACAAGAAGTTCAACATGGCACTTAGATGCTGCACCTCCCCCAAATTCATATATTTCACTGAAGTGAGTAAGAATCTATCAATGTGTTAGTCCTTCTACCGCAGTGAGAAGGACAAGCACAGCATTCTATTGCTATTGTCTTCACCTCAGCTCAGGCTCTACAAAAGATTGCAGTGACAGACAGTAAGGTAGATAGGTGGGAACTAGGAACAGCTACCATCATCTTAGTGATTTTGAAAGGTGGGCCAACCTCAAAATGTTATGGATGTAAGGTGGGCCAAACTCAAAATGTACTTGCTGGAATCCATAGATCATCTTCAGAGGCCTTCTACCAAATGAAGTTAAGGCACATGACTAGAAGAGAGTGTTTTCTCAGTTTTGGAATGTTCTCCCTAAGAAATGCCCAGAACCCACAATTAACTTTTCAGCATCAGACGAAGACTCTTCTCCCAGGCATTTCAGATTGTATTATTCTTTGCACTTATGCTAATGCATGACCCACCTTAACAACTGCAATTTAGTATAACATATAAATATCATTAAACTAAAATTTGATCAGGTACTGAGATGAATCAACCCAGAGTCAGAAATTATGTCTTCTCTATATGAAAAGATAGGCAACACCTGAATACCAATCCAAATCCCTCCTCAGTATATACAGTTTCACTAGGGCCTACTCAATGAAAATAGCACACAGTGTTGGAGGAAAGCAAAAGAAAAGATGCAGTTCAGTATAGAACTTACGTTTAGTACATCCAAGACCATGAGTTCAGTCCCTAGTAAGGATGCATGAGAAATCCACAACAGATTCAAAGTTTGGATTTCTATTAATCTGATCCGTACATTGATTGTTTCTTTTTACTGGGGGAGGAGTTGCACTAATGCCCACAGGTACTGATGTGTTTTAGCACAAGTCCAAATTAGTGCTAAGGGTGCTACTGAGAACTCTTATGATTTACAGTCATAAATCACCTTCACAGAACAAATGGACATGGAGTGCATGTACATGTGCACACGCTCTCCCTACTGCACACACGTGCTCTCCCTCCCTCCCGCGCATGCTCTCACACACACACCCCATCCCTACCTCAGCAATTACATACTTACATGAACTGGCATGTTGAAATAATCAGACTTGAAATTATCTGCCATCTCACCAAAGCTCTGGAGGGTATATTCTCGAACAGCCTGTTCAAATCCAAAGGCTTCCCGTGGTTTGCTACATTCCTAGAAGGAGAGGGGGGAAATAATGTATTACCACTGATGAAAGCAGGCAATAGGATCTCCTACTGCAAGATACTCTGTCATTTTACGTGACCAAGTATAAGAAAACATTTCACCAGACTGATTTCCTGGCTAGCACATGTTTAAATGAGTTGAGCCAGCTAGCATATTTAGCAAGGATGGCACAGATGAACTCACTTCTCAAACTAATGAGTCCTTGCACCGACTGCAATACATTACAGATGGGGACAGAAAGACAAGGAAGAGAGTGAAGCAAGCGGTGAACATCTGATTTTTGAGCCTAGAACAGGAACTAATAACTGTTCTACAGTCCAGATGTGAGCAGCTTCCACAGCTCTCTTAGTCTTAGTCACTCTGTCAGCTACTCTCAGCAAAAATACATACTCTGGCAGCAAGAGTATGTAAATTAGGGCTTCTACATACATTATTGAAATTCAGTTCAAATAGGGAAAAAACAATAAAATCATGATGCATCAAATGCATCATATGAGAACTTCATTTCCCAGTTAGCCGCAATTGACTGGTTTCCTGTATAAACACACAGATGGCTGCATCCAGTTTTAGCAGTATGCAGTATGACTGTGGAAGAACAGCTCCCCATCTGTCCTCCGCATGGCAACCACCCAAAACACCACACAGATTCAGGGGATCCAGCTGAATGGGTGGAATCACCATAGAGGGAAGGTGCTATTTCCAAAGAACAGGTGAAGGCAACCACTATAAGTGCAGTTTTACTTATGGAATATAACTCCACCCTATTTTCTGGTGTTCCTTCTCATTCCCATCAACCTTCCCTATTCAGTAAAGTTTGTCTGAAGCATTTGTGACGGTTGTTGGAGGAGAAGGGGCAATGAGTACTTCCTCCAACCGGTCAAGTTCAATCTAACCCATTTTGTATATCAGGGGCAGGTAACCATATGAAGAAAGCAGGAACCACTTGTCTTTGCTACCCCAGTACTTCCCAAAAAGTTCAAAAAAATGTACCTCAGCAACACATTTGGGACATCTCCAGTCACCCTTGGGCACATCAGGTAAAGGGGGTATTAGGCAAAAAGTGTGATAGCTGTCATCACAACCATCACACAGCAGCAGTTTGTCTTCATTGTTTCCCCGACCACAGAACAAGCAGACATATAGGTCAACCTATTAAAAAAAAAGAGTCTCGTGGGATTTATACAAAGGGCAACAATTGCCAGCCAAGTCTCCTTCATTAAGACTAATGTAGCAACATCATGTATAATGTAGAAATCTCCAGGATAATTCCTGGACAGGTAAAAACACACCTCTGCATTTACAGAACACATAAAATGGAGTGCAGTTGCTGAGTCCAGCAACAGAAAGAAGAAAGGTATTAGCTGCAATCTCATTACAGGCTGGCTTGACATTTTTCAGTTTTGACACTATTTCTAACAACCCTTTAGAACTTCTGGTTAAGGCATTCATAGACTGTTACGTTTATGTTTACACTAACAAGGTTGCTCAGAGCTGCTTTATTTTAGTTACACATTCAAATTACAATTATCTAAAGCAGAATGTCCTAATAGTACTTTATAACTACCCTTAAAATGAATTCACAGGCTCTTTGTTCCATGTCAGCATCACCCAGTGTACTTGTTTAATTAGTACAAGATCATTTGGGTAGAATCAGAGAATTAGAATTTTGTAGCCAAATTGAAGAACATATACTCATTCACTTCAATTTAGCAGAACATCTGTAGAAATACTACCAGATTACGAGGAAGTCAAAATCTTTTGTGTCAATTATGCAAGCCACCACAGTCCTTATGCTATGTACATATACTTGTAAAAGTCTGTTCATAGTATCCCATTGAGTTCAATGATTTAACATAATGAATTGTACTTCTACATTAGCAAGGTACAGCAATTTGTATAACTGCATAAAATGCTATGTACTTTTATACAAGGAGATCACATGAATCAACCAGTAATGTTATGCTGAAGATTAGCTGTATGTACATCTTTTTTGTTACCTCTACTTTTGGAAGTACGTTACTATGGCCTCTAAATCTACCCACTCTTGAGTTAACTCTGCAGAGCTGTGAGTGTAGTGGATCATACAACAATTACAGCTAACTGTTCACGTTCACAATCTTAAAGGCTTGAGTTGTCATATGTAAAGTTACCTAGAATTTAGTTGTATCATCCACTTAATACAAATTATAATTAGTGCATATTATAATTACATTCCATGTACTTAGCATATTCATCGCTCCTAATTTCTCACACTACTCTTGAAAGACCCTGTAGTGAGTGGGACACCACTCTGCTGGGATTTTGAAGATTGGGGCCTTGACAAAAAGGAGATGGATGTTTTGGGACACCCAGGAAGAGGCACAAGCCCTTGACGCACCCTTGTGGTTGCTGTCCACAGATTCCTAGGCCAACCAGGAGCATAAGAATGTCTTGGAATGGAGAGAGGGATCAAAGGAGAGAACAACGATGACCTGTTGCTTTGTCCACTCCCTGACTCAATGACATGGCGTTGAACTGCCCAGTTAAAGCAATTGCACTGCTCCTGCTGGTTAGCCCTTCAACAGCAGGATCTACTCTGAGGGTAGAGACTCAGAATTACTGAAAGGAAAGGGTTTCAGAAGCTTGAGTTCAATTATTATTCTTGACATTCTTGGCCGAGGCATAGCTTCCAGTTTACTAAAGGGCTTAGAATTACCTTGTCTTGTAACTGTGAAGAGCAAATGAGGATCTGCTTTGCAAAAAAAGACTGCCTGGTGTTTTTGGAGCTTAAGGTCATTAAGGGGAGAGTTGGGCTCACCACAGTTGAACCCATCATCAGAGAAACACAGATTAAGGCTAGGATGGGGACACACCCTGCAAGGTTGAACAGTTGCATTCACCAGAGCAAGGAAAGAGATACATTCCTTGGGAGGGTTACCACTGAGTTAAAATTTGAAATCTCAGGAGAAAGATTTGCAGATACCTTCAGTAGAACCTTGCTCACTGAACAGAATTCTGGCATGAGACCATCCCATGAGCTTCACTAGAACTCTGAGGTGCACCATCCCCTTAAGAATGAATATGGGGTGTCAGATGATTCACTGAGACCTATCTACCTGGTGAGAAAATTGTTACATTTCCAAGGGGGACTGGGGTCATCCCCAGGAGGAGGAGTGACATAGTCAGGAAGAGCGAGCTCTTGTTCTCATTGACCATAAAGCCCAGATCCTAAAGGGTTGTCAGTGTAGTGCTGATGTCTTGGAGGCCAGGAGAGTAGATCAGGATATAGTTGAGGCTGAACTCCTCTGGTCCAGATAACTGCAACTGAAGCTTCCAGGTTCCTTGTGAAGACCTGCAGGGGCTGAGTCCAGTTGAAATGGGAGGGAACTGAACTCGTCTTGTCTTCTACCAAAGCTAAGACAAAAGAACCTTCAGTAGGTTGGGCTGATGAAGATGTGGACACAGACTTATGTCAGGTCCACTGAGACTAGGAAGTCTCCCTCCATGAGACAGTCCTTTATGGATCAGAGGAGATCCATCCTGAATTTCTGCTTTTTCAGGCAGCAATTCACCCTTTTCAAATCCATTATGGGGCAAACCCCACCATCTCTCTTTTGGACAGTGAAGACAACTGAGAAGATGTCCTTCCTTCTTTCAGTCTCCAGGATCTTCTTTGTGGCCTGGATTTGTAGCACATGTTAGCTGCACAAATTATCAGGAGGTTTGATGGATCTCCATGGTGGTGTTTTCTGAAGTCTGCTCCAGAAATCTTCCTGAACTTCAGCAAGTTTCCATTCTGAATTGTCTCCCAAGAGCCAGTGGTTGGAAAAGAACTGCCTCCAGATACCTGAGAAGATCTAAAGCCTCTTTCCTATTGGGGCAGGGGGAACATCACATTGAAGAAAGCTTCTTTCTCTGGGGCTCTCCTTTATTCCTGTTGTCATACCCATCAGAAAGCTCCCCATCCTTGGTACCCGGGAAGAGGAGGATCTAGACAACAAGGACTTGCCAAACCAGGAATATGGTTTACAAGAGATGGTAAGCCCACCACCACCACCTGTCCTTGCAGTTTTAGGACTATGTCTTGAATGTGGATGTGGACAAGGTCTGCTGAGAGGTCTCTGCCCTTAGCTTTATCTGGCCTTGAACTGTAACAGGACCGGCTTTTTCCGTCCCTCCTGTGGCTGGGCAAATGAGAGCAAAAAGAGCTCCACCAGCCCGTACAAGATCTCTTTCTTGATCTACTCTCATGGGTGCAAATAAGAAAGATCTCTCCCCACACAAAACCACAATTCTCTATGGGCACAATGCCCCTGTCCTCCACTTCCCATGTGCTCATATCCTTGTGTAGAGGCTCCATTCTTGTGAAGGGCCTCCTCTAATAGTCTCAGTATGACTCCATTTTGGGCCTCTTAAGCAGTAGAAAGGCCTGTGGAATGGCAGGGAGACCATCTTTCTGCATTGCTCCTGCTGGACCCTTGGGCTAAGGACCAAGCTTCAGCATCTAGCAGCAGATGCCCCTGGAGTCTGTGGGGAGAAAGAGGGGGGCGGCAGGGGCAGCTACCAAGGGAGGCCATAACTGGTGACTGCTCCCCATCTAGAATCTCCCCAGGAAGACCTTGCCATCTGATGGCTGTGCCTAGATTCACCAGTTGGTCCACACAAGCCCTGTGGCTGAGAATGGGAAACTTACCCAGTCCTGTAGGCAGAAGCCACCTTCATTAGTGCCCACCCTCTCTGGGCCCTGCCTGATGCATCTGATGTGACACTTGATTAGGCCAACCAAATGGAGGCAAGGTGTTTACAATGCTGAGATTTACAACAACAGCTTCCAGGCACTTTTCTGGATCACCTACGGGATGGCAAGAAGAAGCACCTCCTTTGCAGTTTCCCAACACTGTGTAGTGGTGGCAGGCTGGAGACTCATGGGCTGACTGCTTCTACTTTCAAGAAGCTGTGACTTGCTAGTAGCATGCACACTTCTCCAGTAGCAGGACAAGGCTCTGCACCCACTGGCGAACTGTCACAGGCAAGTTTCCCTTCTGCTTAGCCACTGCACTGGGGCTTTCTCCTGGTCTTCTGTTTCCTCCTCACTTCTGAGCACCTTTCTCTATCTGCTTCCTTCTCTCCTTTTCCTATTTTTGTTGCTGCTGGTTGCTCTCATGGCCAGGTGAGAGCTTCCTAACACTGATTCCCACTGTAAAGCAAGAAAACCTGAAGCTTCCAGTAAGAAGCTTCTCTCCTCCTCTGGGGATTTCAGATTGAGACTTCCTTTCCCACCCCAGAGGCACAGTCTTCCCCAAAGCATGTCTGACTTCAGCAACTAGACTGAAGTTGTTCTCAATACAGTCACAGAACTGGTGTTCTAAATTAGTTTTCTTAGCTTTCAGCAATTTAGTAAAATGTACATCTTATACTTCTTAATCCACCCACATTTTATCCATTCATATTTTCCCATCCTAAATAGAAGCAAGGTAACAGAGCCTTACATGTAGAAACTTACAAAATTGACTGAAAGTGCTCCTTTCCGCTGCCTCATCTGCATGCCAAAAGCTTCTGACCTAGTACCTTTGCGTCTTCGAGGTACTTCATCTGGAGAGGGGGAGGGGATAAGAGAGAGGGAGGCTAGTATGTTCTTTGCAAACATTGCACACGATTGATTTACTGTTCTAAATGTAGGAACAATCAAAGAAACAACCGGAGAAAGCCAAAATAATATATGGAATGTACAAAGCAGTGGTCACAGGAATGTCATTTATATTGCTAAAATGAAACAGTTAGTCACATACTTTTTCAATGGAATTTGGTGCCTTGCAGAATCCTAGAAACTCCAACCTTTATATTTTTAAGATGAGCAAAGTTTCAATCATACCAGCTGCACAAGGGAACCTTAAATCTGTAAGTATTCTAAAGGAAGGGAAACCAGTGGAGTTTTGACTGGACTTGTAGGGATCAGTTCCCTTTTTTCAAGGCCTCCATATCTCATTCTTGGTTTCTGTTCCAAAGTTCCCACTTACATCCAATTTAAAATCTTAGAAATGGTGAGACTATAACAAACCAAAACATACGTATTTTTAGAAGTGCATATCTGAAATGGAGGGAAAAGCCAGATCAGCCATACCACACAGTGAGAAAACCTTTTGACCTACATGGTTACTAGGATCACAAGCAGTGTATCACTATTATTTAAGAAAATTTTAACCTGCCTTTGAGGGTGTAGGCATAAGAAATCACATTAATAGAGCCACTACCAAAACCTTTGAAATATAAATATAACTAGGATTGCAGAAATGCATGTATTTCCAACTACAGTGCATTACGTTATTAGCCAAATCTTTACAAAGTTTCTCAGAATCCTCATAGAAGTTCTTTTGCACTGGCTACTAGAAGTCACAGCTGATTATACCCACACAACTCTTAAATGTAGTACTAATCAAGGAGTCTCAGTGACTCACTCAAACCTTGCTTTACCAAGGTTTAAAATGTACAAATGACTACCTTGTACCTGCTACAAAAGTCACATCAACAATGATCTTTAAAGCTCTTCACTGCAGAAATTAATACTTTCTCATGCAGGGACTCAGAAGCTACTGTTTACCTTCTTTTTCCTTTGCTCCCAGTGCCAGTCCCATCATCTTTGGTCCTGCTCCAAAGATTTGAAGCTTCTTCAGTTCAGTGTTCCTACTCATCTCTCCTGCCTCTGCCTAAAGACAAAATCACATTATTCACTATTAGTATTTATGCTGAAACTATTTGTTCCCCATGCTAAAAGAATTATAGGCTGGATTAAATTTATTTACCACAGACATCTGGCTTTTCAAGGTCACATCTAAGAACAGGTAATTCAGCAAAAAAAATGGCTTTCACCTCTACCATCATCTCCTTTAAGAAGTTGCAGGTAAATGACACAATTTCTATTTTCTGGAATGGCACCCAGATGCAAAAGTGTCAACAGCAAGAGAAAACGTAAAATAGGAAATTATTATCTCATTATGTTCCTACCCAACCTTTAAGAATGTCTTGCTGAGGTTCTTCTCAGGAAACACCACCTAAACAAGTGAGGGGGTGGCAACCAGGAGAAGGGCCTTTTCAGTATTGGCACCCCATCTCTGGCACACACTCCACAGAAAGGTACACCTGGCACCTTTCCTGCCATCATTTTGGTGTCATGTAAAACCCTTTTTATTTTCCAGTTACATCGTTAAGTCTGTGTATTTTATTATCAGCTGAGTCAGTTTTATTATTATTTGCTGCTATGCCAGGGCGTGTTAAATTCTTATGGCTGCTGCAGCTTATTGCCCTGTGATTGTTGTTGTCCTGCCATACTGTTTTCATTTTTATTGTATGTTATGAGTATATTGTATCTGAGTTTCTTATGAATTGTATTTATACATTTTAATATTTGTAAACTATCCAGACAGCCCATGGACTATAAGGCAGTATAAAATGTAATCAATAAATATTTCCTATCCTATTTCTTGTGTCATCGACAAACACATTTTTAAATCAAGTTCCAGGACAAAGACTAAAACCAAAGATTAATTTAGTTATTAAAAAACAATTCAGACAACAAAAAGCAATTTCTTTTTATATTTACTCCTATCATCTGCATTGTACTAATTGTTAGCCTGTAATGATGAGGTTGCTTTGCAGGACTGGATATTCTCATATGTATCTTATTTGATAGAAACACCATTTCTCTATAACATACAGGCTTCTTCTCTCACAGAAAGCATCAAGCTAAGATGCTGATCTTCAATTCCTCACAAATCTTCCAATAGATTTTACCTTTCAACAGCCTAAGTGGGTTATTCATTTCTGAAATAGATGCTTAACATCATGTAGCATCTCATAATTTGAAAATATGTTTACATTCAAAAGAACCTGCCTCCCACTAGATGGAAAAGAGATCATTTGTATCTGGAGGCAACAAGCAGTAAGTGAGGTTCAGAAAAATGAGATTGTGTTAAGCATTTTTTCATTTTACATTATACTGTGGGTTTTTTTCTTTCCCAAATGATCAATTCCTAAGGGAAAATAAAAGTGCAAAAGAGACACAATGTTCTTCACTATTAACTAGAGGCTATGTTCACACAATACACTGATGTCAGGATTCTGAAGAACTATTGTTTATCATTCATGCATTGACAGAATGGTATACACTGTCTAGCCACTCCCATTTGACTCCTTCCACCACAGCAGTAGCTAAACAACTCACCAGCAAGAAAATGTTTAGTGCTGCACCCTCAACAAGTCAGAAGCATAAACTAGTAGCTATTCTTAGCTTATATTTCCTGACCTGTTTGTGGACAATATGCCAGAAGCAGTCACAATCCTAGTATCTGATTTTGGTTGTGAGTTCCTGGTTTGTTTAGCTCCTTCCACCTGCGGGAGGAGCCAAGTGAAATGACTGGGCATTGCATACCGACAAGGCAAGCAGACACAGTCTACTTATTTTAAATTATCATTTATTTAAAGGGCTATGAAAAGATTTGGGAGCATGTACTCCCCTCCACAACTCTTGTAGTCCCTAAAGCAAATCCCTCCCTTCTAATTTAACTATAGTTGAGGGATATGTTGGTACTGCCATTAACAGCCGTTAAGCCTGACCAGATTTCTATTTAAGAAGGTTTTTAACTAAGATATATATTCCATTTAAGCATGGCTTTGGAATGTTTTGATAATCCTGGTTAAGCAGACAATCTTGTAGTGAAGGCTAGCACCACATTTCTTAACTACAGTAAAAAGAGATGGCAAGGGAGTACCCATGACCCCTGCAGGCTGCTCTCAATCACATGTGAGACATTTTGTTATGCTGAGCTGACTCTAAAACAGTGTTTTGTCTAGGAGAAGACAAATGACTTCACCCAGGGCAAGCATATTTTTATTATGGCAAAGTGCTTGTGGCACCCGCCCAAACACAAAAGAGAGAGTTCTGAGGGGAAAGTGTTTTTTCTGACTTCATTATGGGCTTCAGAGGCTGTCATCTGCTGTCTCCAAATGTTCCTCATGTTCCGAACTGCAGGATTAAGCCCCACCCATAGTCAAACTGAGGACTCAATCAACCTTTGTCAACCACAAAATTAGATCATCTCCCAAGGCCACTAAAAGGTTTGAACCTGTTTTAGGATAGCATTCATGTAATATTTCACTGAAACCTTAACAGCAGAAACTTATTAAACACCTTCACTGATTTCAATGAAAGAATTAAGCATTTGGACACCACAGAATTTACAAGTGCTTAAGTTCAGCTGCATTTATTTAGTAGCTGTTTGAGATAGCTTTATAGTTCTACCCAAAGTCAAGGTTTCTCGTTTAACTGCATCAAACATATGCCAATTAAGACTTACTTTGAAAACAAGTGCACAATTATGAAGAACTGAACAGGAAATTGTACAAAAATACTATTGGAAAAGTGTTCTGGGGTTTTAATTACTTTCATCCGGGTTATTCTTAAGCAGAATTTTGTTGCAGAAACTGGCTGTATGCTATATAATACTTTTAGTATGGAAAACCAGTATCAAATGCAATAAATATATTAAATTACTTTAAGTACCAAGATCTTCCAACATTGGGAAAACTGGTCATACTAATATGAGGCACCAAAATGGGCCTGTTTCATCCTTAACCATAAAAATGTGAGAGATTTCTTTTGTGTATGACAAATCTCAGAAGCAGCATAGTTCTGCTCATGTTATCATCAGAGCAGGAAAGTTGAAAAATCAAGAACACTTTCAATCATTGAATCTGGAGGGAGGCATAACTGTGGTCTGGGGAATACTCCACAAAAGTGTACCATAGGGAACCAACTGGCTAATTTACATATCCAATTCCAAAAACAGCAGCAAAACAAGATAAACCATGAGGGCTGATTGAAGAGATGAACCAACCAAACAATATAACACATTTAAAATTATGTTTATTTGGTAATGACATTTTAGTAGCACTATTCAAGCACCTAAGAACATAGGATTTGTTACTTTTCTGTCATTATCATTAACTTTATACTCAGGTTTCTTCATGCTACTAAGTTGGACTAAGTTCAAACTACAATCCTGATTTTTTTCTACCAGTCATGCTATCATAAGATCTACTACTCATTTTGAGTGGGAGTTACAAAACAAAATCAACTGAAGAGTCCCCTCAAAATATCAATTTTCCAGTTCTGAATGTAATGGCCTCTCCTCTATTTTTTTTTTTTTTTTGAAGATTCACATTAGATTTTTCTGAAGTCTTCCAAACAACATCAAAGGTCATTTATTTTCAACTTTCAAGACTAATCTATCAAAGCAGAAAACTTAAATTACATACTATCACAGCCTAATCAGGAAGTTAACATATATTATAGGGAAAATTTCCATCTTCCATTAACTTTTACTCTTAGGCCATGATCCATAGAAGATTTTTGCTGTGCTGGCTCAGCCCTCCTCACTCCTGTACCAGTGCAAGCAGCCGTATTCCAACAAAAACCAAGGATCACTGAGGCTGGGTGAATGTGCAATCTAGCTGCTATATAACCACTACTGCTACTTCTGAAATAGATCCTCAGCTATTCGAAGTGTACTCAAGAATTCAGTATATTTTATGTTTTTATAAATATAAATACAATGTATAAGTGAAGTAGTGATGTTCCTATACTTCCTGTTCATTTTCTCTTTGCCTGATCTTTTACATTAGCTACAATTGTACTTGCTATCAGATTTTGGGATGATTTTAAATGAAACATTATGAATGAATAGTCTTACATGTTGTTGAAACTATTACAAAGAAGGAAAGTGCTAGCTATATTTTTATTCCATTTTGGATAGCTTGCAAGGAAGGAACTGGGTCTTAATGGAGTGAAAGCAGTTTTCTATACCATGTCCTGAAAATGATACTCTTAATCCACACAAAAGGAAGTGGTTATTTTAATGGAAAGGTTGGGGAATTTGTACACAAGAACCAGACATTGCTTAGAAAGCCCTTTCTCCTACAAGTCCTTTCTTCTCTTTAGGGCTAGAACTGATCATGCTTAATAACTGATGCAACCCACAAAAATGTTGGCTACATATTAAGTCTCAGCTAAGCATAAGTTCCTCTTATCAATTTCCGCAAGTATGGTGTGTATTAGTAATTCTGCTAGTACATAGCTTTTACAATGCACTTGACTGTTTCAAGAATACTCAAAACAGACATTTCATTAATCTTTATGGTAACCCTGTAGGATAGAAAAATTTATCATCTTATATTTTAGCAGGAGGGCCCTAAAGAGATGGTGGCTTGCCCAAGGCCAAGGCCAGTTATGGCAGAGGCAGAAGCCAAGAGACTTCTCAGTTCAGAATTATAGCCACTACGTTACAGCTGCTCAAGTTGATATAAAACTCAAAAGCGAACATATAAAAAAGTCTGTTTGCTCTTTTAGTTTATCTGTCTGGTGACTTATCCAACTTGTGCATTTTTGTCTAGCATACCCACTTACAGTCTTTTAAAGGACAATCTTCTCATGGTATGTCTAAGCCCGCAAGGCCAGACAAAGGCTACTGCATTTCCAATGCTTTTTGCACTGGTGCAAAAACTAAAGGCACTGTGTCTACAGTGGCCAAGTGATCTGGGTACCTGCGACTTGACACGTCTGGTTCTCTTCAGCACAACGTTCATTCTTGAACCCTGCTTTGGGGGAGACTGGGCATCAATGCCAAGGTCCGCAACCTCCACTTTTTCCTTAAGGTCCAAGTTTGGCTTTTGGATGCCCTAAAGAATCAGAGCACAGAAGGACACCAGGTTGGTTGGATCCAGGACGTCAGACTCTGGTTTTCAAAATGAGCATCACTACTGGGGGGAAAAGGGCTACCAACAATGACACATTACATTACAAATGTCATCTGGAACAGAGTCATTCATGAAACCTGAATAAAGCTGATTCTCAGCTGCTGCTGCCTAGCCAAAAATAAAAATAAGAATAAGAATCCTTCTCTTGTTTGGTTCTCTTCAAACAAAGTCCCCATCCTATCAAAGTCAACCACAAACAAGATATAATCATGACAGCATACTGCACAACTGAAGTTATTAGGAAAAAGATTATTTCCACAAGGCATTTGAACAGAAACACATCATGTTGAGTTTGCATATATTGTAAAAAGCAACTTGCACTAAGTTAGTTTTATCATAATCTCTGGCAAATGAAGCTATCTCACCATAAGGCTGACACCAGACTGGAAAAGCTCGTATGGATATAAGATCCGCTCATAATGGGATTTCAGCAGTGAGCCTGTGGCCTTTCCTGGCAAGTAACCAAGACGACTAGCCACTTTGGACCATTTCTTCTCTTTAGTGACTACTTCAAAGCCTCCTTTGCTGGCAACAATCTGAAATAAAAATAAAATAAAAGTTGCATTATTTAATTTAACATTTTCGTATCCCATCCTTTATAGCGTCTCATTTTAGAAAGCTGCATAAAAGTGGTTCCAAAAACATATAGGTCAGAGCTTAAACAAGGTCTCATATCCTCTGCTTTAAGGTGTACAATGTACAGGTATACAGAAATTTCTACAGAACCAACAGTTTCATTTCTCTCTCTCCTGAAAGTTTCAATGCCTTCCAATCTTATGCTACTTCTAGCACCTCTGCAAGTCCCAAACTGCTAGAAAGAGCTCCAGAGGTGCTTGAAGTAGCACAAGATTAAAATCCATCAGAAACACACAAACCAGACATGCAAAGTTTAACTGATGGTCATATAGCCACATCAGTAGTCAGAAAACTGAAAGCCAAGATATGATAGGTTATGCAGACACTCTCAGTAGAGCTTTAAAGCAGCAGTTTTCTGCATGAGGTAGAATAGTTTGCTGCTTCCAAGGAGCAGGCTACTGTTGTAGCAATATTTGAAACTTTGTTTTTATCACTGGCCTAATAAAGTCTATCATGAAAAGTCAGTCATTCCAGACAGACCTCCTCTGAAACACTCCCTGCTTTTCATTTTGCCAAGGAAATTCAACAGAATCAATTTTGTTTTAAACATTTCTCTTTTTAGCCATATCTGAATCAAGAAACTTGAAGAAATATAACACATTATGGAGTTATGCAATACCACTACTGTCGTCATGAAGAGTCCATAGATTCACATTCCAGGAAGCTGTGTTCTTCCTTGCGATGTTCAGTGAGGTTAACAGGGTACTTTTGAGAAGGCATTCAGCTAACAAATGAAGCAGCGCCGAGAGGCAAAAGTGTTACTGTGTTGCTGGGATTTCATTTTAATTTTCACTGCTATCTGTAGTCATCTGCAAGCATTTGTGAGAAAAAACTCCTTGTTCCCTACATGCATATTGCTCAGCTCATGAGGAGCAAACTAGAATTTACACAGGGTTATCCAAGCTTGGAAAGTCTAAACCATTGCAGATCTCTACTCACCTTGCTCAATGAATAAAGGTCCAATATTTTTCTTTCCACCACTGGAATTTTTAATGTAGATCCTTGAAGTTCCCAAAATTTTGCCAGTTGGTCTAGAAAGTCCAGTTTCACTCTAGTCATTGCCTAAACAAACCAAGGCAGCAGATGGACATCAGACAAGCTATGTATGAGAGAAGACAACTGTCCAAGGAAAAGAACAGCAACATGCTCAGTTAGCTCATCCATTCTGAAAGTCTCTAGAGCTTAGTGAGCAGAAAATGTCTTATCGAGAATCAGGGAAATTTCAGTTGATGTCAGATATGAACATCTGGGTACTTGAAGAAGATCTGAATACAAGTATTCTATTTCACCATCACCCTGATGGAAACTTCTTCTTTACCACTGATAGATGATACATGTAAAGCAGCAGACATTAGGGCCAAAGAAGGGAAAATCCAAACAGACCGAAGAACACTACTTTCATTTAGATACTCAATACTTTCTCTTTTTCAAAAATTAAAGAGATTCTTGCAAGATACATATAACTTTCAAGCATTTTCAAATGAACCCTCTGCACAATAAGATAAATGTATCAAAGTAAATTTAGATGTAAAAACATCAGAATACTATGTTCATGGGAATTCCTGAAAGCTACATAGGGCCTATGTTTCTGTTCAAACCTATGTTTACCATTATGGAAACAAATTTCACAGCAAAATTACATAGTACAACAGCCCCCACACTGCAGAAAGTCACCTCTAATATATGGAAAGCTGATGGAACTGAGCCATTAGGAAAAGTTGGAGATGGTATGGCCTCATTCTCCCCTTTCATAAAAGGGCTAACACCCAAATAGCAAATTGTCTCTAGGAAGAGTGTTATTTCATATTCCCAGTAGCATATAAAATACTCTTTAGTAATATGTGGAATTAACACAAAAGTACCTTTGTAAACACTTGGGAGAGTTATTTTACTCAAACCATGTCAATAGAAAAGATGAAAAAGATGTTCTGTGAGTTTCTTAAGCCGGTGATTGTAAAACCTCATCAAAGCTTAAAGAAACGGACCTAATGCTATGTGCATGGATATAAATTTATGGAACTGATTGGAGATCTCACCTCCAGTTCATTCAAGCGCTGAACTCGTGGGGTAAAACGAAAACTCTGTACATCACAAGCAAAAGGGGGCTGCCAGTCCTAAGGAGAAAGAGAAAAAAATGCTTCAAGATTTCCATAAAACTCTTAACACACTACACAGCTAATGAGCTTTCTAGATTTTAGAAAACTTTTTTTAAATTCTTGTATGATCTGCAAAGACTCAGTACACCAGAGCAACTATTTCAGTTTGAAACCTTTTTAGACTGAATTAGAAGGTGAAGTGGATTTCAGGTAAAGAATCAGATTAATTCAGTTTAAACCCAGTAGTAACATGCCAATATGGTATCATGTTTGAGAATCTATTTGGGGTTAAAAGACCAAAGACCTTATTATACTAATGACTGTGTATATGTGAGCAGGAACATAATTTGAGATCTAAGTAAACTTTGGTTTTCAGTTTCACTCATGTGAGAGAGATATAGGCATGCAAGAAACATGGATACCAGAGACCCTCTCCAAGCAGTTAGTCTTAAAAATCCCATTTAGATACTGACTGCAACAAATACTGCTCAATTTTTCTAGTACTTTGTCCTGAAACTATATCTATACAAGTTACAATCCCATTAATTATTTTACCTGCCTGCCTGCCCACATCCCTTTGCCATTTGAGGCCTATTATGACCTGAAGGCAGCAGGGGACAACCACTTGCTGCAGGCCACTAGACAAGTGACTACACATTTTCATTATTATTTAAAGGAACATTTACACAGAAAACAGTATTTTTCCAAGTGACTGTTACACTTAAGTACTAAATAGTAGGTGTACGGCTATAAACGAAGAGATACAAGTCCAGATCCAGATTTATGCTGATCAACTGAACTGGTGGAGGTGAACTTCCCCCTCTCCCCATTCCCACAGCAACACTTCCAATCACCTAAAAATAGTTATAAAGTCAAGAAACCCTGCTGAATGGAGAAAGCAGTAGGGTGGACCCCCAAATTCACACAAAGGGATCTTATGTGAGCAAAGCCCTTCCTCTCATTGAAGGGCAGACTCTAGATACAGTTTATTATAACTTGTAATGCAGTATGTCACAAAAGCATTCAGAGTAATAATTTCAATATTGTACTAATACAAATCTAATTATTCACCATTTAGTGCATGTCTTTAATTATTACCTCTCAGTGTAACCTGCCCATTACACAGGTGCTAAAGTGGTTAATAAATAACAAGTAATTTAAACTGAACAGAATTATTTATTATTTTAGGCCCCAGTAGACACTCCAGACAATCCAATGTATTTGATGTCATCCTAAAATATGCAACTGCTTCCAGAACAACATGCCACAAGGACAAGTAGGTAAATTCCACAGGAACATAAAATGCCAGTAAAATAAAAATTAAAAAAAAAAATCCAAGAGCTACAAAATTGTAGCTTTTTCCAATGTTTGAATATGCATGAATAGACTTCTACTTCCCAAAATATCTCAATATGTAAGCTACACTCTTCTAAGAGTAATTGATAATATTTTGAATTTAAGTATAACACTGATCTGCTTTGCATTTAAAAGCACAATGTTCATCTACGCAACAGAAAGAAATCTCAAGTGAACTAAGACTAATTTTACTAGAAGTCTAACTTTGTCATCATGTTCAAACAATGCACTGTTTTTAACAGTGCAATACAATAATCAGCCTTACATATAATTTAGTATTGTCTTGAATAAAATGAGAGTTTTAAAGTACAATATGTTAACAGTTACTGGTTTTAATTTTACCAATCCTTTTCTGACCTGAACAATATGAATCAGAAAGGCTACACTGCTACTTCATAGTTCATTTATTCTAGTAACAAGTACCATAAATGTATTTATAAGCTGATTGTCAAACAGTTTTAGCCTCTAAAACCATTTACTGAACCAATCTAGAAAACCCTCACTAGTCTGATATTAGGGAAGAAAAAAAGAATCTGACAGAATCTGTGTGACAAGTAGAGTTGCCAGTTCTTCTTTTGGCAGGACTCTTGACAGCACCTTCTGAAATCCTGACTGTCACACAGCTATTAAAGGGAGCAGAATTTACCAGGTATTGTTACTCCTATCCTTAAAGTTTATAAGGTGGGGAATTGAAAGGGAAGAAGAGAACATAACCTCTACCAAGCCATATCATTTCTGGGATGAAATGAGACAGAGTAAGTAGTGTTCATCTGCTTTTCGTACAATAGCACAAAAACTAGCTGTAACTGTATACACAGAAAAAGCAGCAACAAAGATGGAAGACAGTATCTTAGAGTGACCTTGGATAGTGAAGGGGAGTGAGCAACATTCAAAACAGGATGCAGCAACCAGATTCTATACCAATTAAGAATTGTTCAAAAGGAGACCCAGAAACTCTAAACTCTTTAAAACTCTAAACTCTTTTCTAAAAAGCCACCATGCATACTAAAACAACCGTTTAACTTACCAAAACAGTATCATATAGACTAGAAAGGGAAAGGATACAGGAGAGAGCATCTCCTACAACTAAGCAAACTATTACTGAGCCTTTTTAACCTATATGCAATCCTCTATTGTTGCTGTGTTGTCCCTAAAGGCAAAAAACCAACTTACATTGATGCAGGAGCTATATACTTGTTTCTGATGGAGACTTCTATACAACTTAAAAGCCTGAGGACTTCGTATCTTAAACCAAAGGAAGTAGGACTGAAGCAACAATTCATGGTCTGTGCAGAAGGTTAGTATTAAAATCCACCCCCACCACACAGTAACAAAATAATCTTACTGTAATTATTACTGCTACTGTATTTTGCATATCATTGATACATAAATCCTTTAAGTTTCTTGGGGAGCTCCACCCTGCATTTATCCCTCGCCTTCCCCTTTTCGATTCTGTTTGCCTGATTTTCTTGGTATGTAGTCTACTCTTCTTGCTTTAATTTTTAGCCAAAGTTAAAATCCGATCACCATTTAACAAACAACAACAGTCGCCTCCTCATGAAAGATGCGCCATTGTTGCGAATTATGGTGTACATGAAGGCCTTTGAAAGCACTACAGAAAGCCCAAGGGCTAGTCGTGCTCATTTGGCATCTTTCAATCGCGAAGCATCGACCAGCTGGATCAAGAGTAGCAGCGGCTCGTAGCGCTGGCCTGATAAATTTTGGGGGCGAGCGGGGCTTGCCAAGAGATAAAGCAACTGAAGAAACGAGCGACTTCTAGGAAAGCCGAAACAGAGTTTCGAGGACCCACACGCGCCCCATCTCCATCCCAGCTTCGCAGTTTTCGCAGCTTCTCCCCCACTCCCCAAGTACCTTGGGCGGCCGGATTTTGCAGATGCCGGTTTTCTCGGCCAAAGGTCGGATGCGCCCAATGAAGCCAAGGGGGTCGCTGAACTCCTCCCAGCTGGGCTCGAAGACGGGGCACTCGGGAGGCGGCACGAACTCTGCCACGTAGTGAGACCCACCAGGGCCGTCGTCGTCCCCCGACATGATGGCGATGGCGGCGGCGCCGTTGTCGTCGCTGCTGCTACCGGCGCTCCTGCTGCCTCAGGACTGGGGAGGGACCGGGCTGGGCGGGGGAGCGGCGGCGGCGGGGAAGGGACGGCAAAGGAGCTCAAGGATGGGCCAGGGGGCGGAGGGACATCCTGGTGCCCAGCGAGAGGCAGAAGCGCTGCTGCCCTTGCGCAGCGAGGCCCCTCAGGATCAGCCGCCGAGCTCGCAGCGCCCGCTGCTGAACAGGCCTCCGTTTGTTTTTGTTTCCCCCTTCAGGGGGTTTGTTATTTTTCTTCTTTCCTTTTCCTCCCCTTCTTTAAGGCTCGCCGGAAGTGACGCGTCTCAGTTAAAACCCTCTCTTTCTTACGGAAGCTAGAATGACATATTCTTCCGCCGGTAAGATTTTTTTCTTTTAAAAAATAGTTCCGGAGGCCTCTCCCACAGACGGAGGCAATTTTCCGTGCATGCAGCCCGTCACCCTTTGTATCCACGGTTCCACACCGCGCAAGGCCAAGATGGGCGTTACGTCGCCTTTACAACGGCCACGATAGACGCGGCCGAGATTGGGCCTTTGCGCTCGCGGAGGAATGTGCCGTGTTTTGGTATGAGGCCGCACAACGACTCGAGAACTTCCGGTGCCGACAGGCCGCCTAGTCCTTTTTTGTGCGTGTGCGCGTACGAGGCAGCGAGAGCGCTCTGGCCCCGCCTCTTTCTGTGGAAGTCTCGCGGAGCCCCGCCCGCGCTCGCAAGCCGTAGCGCTCCTCGCGTACGGTACCTGCTGAAGCCGCCTCGTCCTTCCCTCCGCAGAACACCTGAGCTCCGCCCACTTGTAATCCCCAGCGCGCCTCCTGCGTTACCTGTCCTCACCCCGCTCAGAAATCCCCCCGCCCACTCCCCATCGCAAGAGCAACGCGCCCCCTCCCTCCGGACCACCGCAGCTCCTTGACCCCCTCGTAGACCCTCCGAGGCCACCGCCGCGCGGGACTTGATGTGCTGCCCGGGCCTGGAGGGCAGTTTTCGACATGATCACTTCTCAACAGCCACGTCTTCGTGCCTGTAAATAAAAACGCGGCCTGCATGCGCAACACGTTTTAATATTACTTATTGATGACGTCTGCCCCACTTCAAGGAGCTCAAAGCGGGCATCTGTGGCCTTCCCCTCACTTTTTCCCCTGATAACGTACTGAAGGCCAGGGCCGATTGGATGGGTCTTTTCTCAGTTGCAGCCTCCTGCTCACCAGACGTTTTGGACTACCGCTCTCATCAGCCCCAGCCACCATGGCTAATGGTTAGGGATTTTGAAACGTCGGTCCAAAACGTCTGGAAGGAACCAGGTTGGGCAAGGCTGCCTAACTACAGCTCTTTTTAACAACAAAACTTGGCGGGCAATCTTCCCAGTGTTGACCAAATGGTCAAGAGAGCAAGACCTCCCTGAATGCCTTTTAAAACCTGGAAGGTACTGTTTTGAATAATATCAAGCTAACAACAAAGAGTCTTGTGCCACCTTAAACTTAATATTTATTCTAGCATAAGGTTTGTGGAGCACTGCTCACTTCCTTACATGCACAAAGAGTTTGCGTTTCAGATTTGCAGTCACTGTTACTTTCTGCATTTGATTTCCTTCCGACTTCACTGTTTACAGTTTTCCCCAACACCACCCACATGTAACGCACGTGTACTGTATATAAACATGAAACTCTTAACACTCCAAGTGGGCTATAGTTCACAAACGCTTATGGCAGAATAAGTTTATTTTTAAGGGGCCAAAAAACTTGGTTGCTTTTGCTGCAACAGACTACTGGACCTACCTTCGGGAAATCAGTGTATTTTCAGGTTACATCATATAGAATATACACTCCTGTTTTTGTCATTAATTGCTCAAAATATCTATTGAAAAGAACAGAAATCAAACCATCTACGATTGTTTATTGTTTAAAGAACTACATATCTGCCATTTCCAGCCAGAGCAAAAGCAAAGGTAGAGGGGGTGACAGCTTCAGCTATGGCAGCTGGGTTGTACCTCAGGTAGCTGATTATGGGTGGTATGAAAGGCAGCATATTTATTGCTACATTTTTACTGCTGGGAAGGGCAGCATTTGGGATTTTCAACCTCAGTTGCCAAAATGACTTTACAAGCTTTGAGTATCATGTACCTTGATTTGACAAGGCATGATGCCATTTGCTGTTCTATAAGTTTTCTTGTGGCAGCCCTGATGCTACAATTCAGCCTTTGTCAAGGTAGTCAGCAAGAACTAAGGGTCTTTTCTATCCAAGTCCATATTTATTTGGATTGTTTTCAAGGATGAAGCATCCTTCAATAATGCTTCAAGGGAAGTTTATTTTAAAAAACCCCAACAACAATACAATCACAATAGCATAAAACAGCAATTAATTTAATGACAATTAGAAACAATCCACAATTTTTACCATTGGGTAACCCTCCTGGGTTATGACTACAATACGTTTGTTAAGATAAAAGGTAAAGGGTTCACCTTGACATTAAGTTAAGATATGCTAAGACTAATTCATGCTTGAACAAACTGATCCCCCAAACTGAGTGCAGTTCACTGTTCCATGGCACTGCCAGGTGCTGTTTTTACAAGCCATTCTCTATTGAGATTTTCTAGGTTCTGTGCAGGTTTCTTCAAAAGTCATCAACATTGCTGTTTTTCTTGAGGCTCTGAGATCTCTCCATCTCTCAAGGAAATGATTACTACTACTTGGACTAACTGGGCTATCCCCACCTACTTTATTTTTATACCATATTTCTATCAAGATGGGCACTCAAGATGGCCTGCAATCATGAAGAAAACAACATAAAAGAATTTAAACAAAACCACTACAATAACAGGAAACACCAGGTTTCAGCCCAGATGCTTGCTTCAATCAAAAGGTCTTTGCTTTGTCACATTGCTACCACACTTCCTCAAGACCTGTCCCTATACATGTCTACAGATATATGCTTAGGCAGTGCTTTTTTTGTAAGAAAAAAGGTGCCGGAACTCATGAAATTATTTACCTTTCGCACGTAGTCAATCACTGTACACACACCCACACATGTCAGTTGTGTAACAAAACATAACGGTTGCCACCTGCAGTAAGCACTCAGCACGCGATCACACGACCAATCACAAGCTGAGCAGCGCCATCACAACCAGCGTGACGAAGTATGCATGCATCGGACTCAACACACAAGCAGCCCACATGCACCATTTTAATGATTTTGCCGCCGACCTGCTACGCTCAACAGGGCGACTCAAATCCACGTGGACCAAACATCAAATTTTCAAGTTACTTTTAAAACTTGGAAAATCTGTTGAAAAAAGGTGCCGGAACTCTGTTCTGGTGCGTTCTATGACAAAAAAAAGCACTGTGCTTAGGGAATAATAGAACATAAGTGATGTGGGAATTTAGCTTAAATATGCTAGGTTGGCAAAAGGTGTATCCAAATGTTTTGGATCAACTTTTGGAATTCCTGAGCAATGCCCATGCTGGCAGTGGCTTATGGGAGTTAAAATCCAAAATATCTGGAGATGTACCAACTGTCCATTCTATGCTAGAGAAGCAATTTCCCACTATGACCCTGGTTCTATTCTGCTGGAAGACAGGCTGCTGTCTGTCCAGAAAATCTGGCCCAGAAATATGCACAGTGTGAATAACTTTGCATTGTCTCATTCAGGTAGTCCAGTATGATCTTCTAAGGTACTTTATAGCTCACTTTCCCAGAAAAAATTTACCTTTTAAAAACCAAAATGCAGGATAGCAGCATAAAAAGCAGTATGAACAGCAAAGTCTTGTAGCATCTTAAAAATAGCACTATCCTATATATTTTACTCAGAAATAACCATCATGTATGTATCTAAAATTATTTAAGCTACCTTGAATAATGAAGCCCTCTCAAGCTGGTATAAAAGATAAAGAACACAAAAACTGCAGATTGATTTGTCCATAAAAACATGCTAATTCCATAATGGTGACTGGCAATTTAAAACAAGAGCAACACTTCCAACCCCAACCCACCCCAATATTCTGGACATAAGGTGGGTGTTCAGAGCCTTCCTGAAGCCCAGCCATGGAGTCCATTGTACCCCAAAAGAAAGTTCACGGCCATCAGTGAGAAGATTGTCAGCCTAACTGTCCTTGGCAAGGGGGCAGGTGTGAAGGGCTTCTGTTGATACCCTACCTGGACACTATGCTGAACCTCTGAGGCCTTCCTCGAAGTGCAAACCAACCAAGAGGGTTGGAGGGTGGGAACTAGCAGGAGGGTCTTTTCTGTTGTGGCCCTCCATCTGTGGAACAACCTCACTGCTGTGGCCCTCCAGGCAACAAATTTGCCATCTTTTTGAAGCCAGGTTAGGACAGCCCTCTTTGTGGAGGCTTTCAAAGACCTCCCTGATCATTCAGGGGCCTGACATGATTAGGCAGGTGCCCTTCTTTTACTCTTGGCCAGGTCTTTTTTATTGTCTTTGTATGTTCTTTTAAATTGTTTTTTAATTCTTCTGCTTGTAATTCTCTCTATCTTTATACATATATTTGTTGTAAACCACACAGAGAACTTCAGCTAAGGGCTGTATAAAATTAAATAACAACAACAACAACAGCATCATCATAATTATCCAAGTGTGGGCAAAATGGTACAAGAGAAGGCAGCCCTTCATACAGCTTGGACTAAGACTAATTAAGAAGCTAAAGGTTAAACCAGCACATTAAATGGAACTTGGAAAAACACTGGCAACCAGTACAGTTTCTGAACTCATTTCAATGCAGTACTGGTGTAATATAAGCTGATGGCCTAGTCCTCAAGAACAGCCAGGTGGTTATTCTGCACTAGATTCACAGTATAGTAGAGTTGGAAGGGAGCATGAAGGCCACTGGGTTACACCATCCCACTCAGATGGCTTTCCAGGTTCTTTTTTAATGTCTCCAGGGTGGGAGTGCCCACTGCCTCTCTAGGCAGCTAGTTCCACTGTTGTGTTACTGACAGTGAGGAGGCTTTTCCTGATGTCCTGCCTGAATCTGGGTTGTCGCAACTTGAATTGATTATTCTGTGTCCTACATTAAGGCATCAGCAGGAAGAGCTCTTGACCTTTGTGACAGCTTTTGAGGTACTTAAAGAGGGATACCATGTCTCTCCTCAGTCTTCTCTTCTCAAGGCTGAACATGCCCAGATCTGTCAGTCTCTCCTCATAGGGCAGTGTTTCCAAACCCTGGATCATGTTTGTTGCCCTCCTGCTTCTCATGATTTGGAAGTAATACTTCTGTTAATGCACTCCAAAATAGCATTTGTCATTTTGGCGGCTGCATCGCATTGTTGGCTCATATTTACCCTGTTGTCCACAATTACTCCAAGATCTTTTTCTTTTTCAGTTCTGTAGAGCCACTTATTTCCCATCTTGTATCAATGTATCGGAATCTTCCAATCCATCCTCAAAGGTAGCCTCACATACAGCAGATATAGTGGTAAGCTGTACTCCCATTTAGGTGGGTAAAGATGGCAGCCCGAGGCTGTAAACCTAACACTATTTTATCTGGGAGAAAGTTCCACAAAATACAATGGGACTTACAGACACACAGAAATAGCATTGTGCTACAAGACTACGCACTCTGAAATAGCACAGCGCTTCTAAAAAAACACATACATAGGATTGTTCTGTCAAATAACAGATCTGTAAACTGGCATAGGATTCCACTGATTGCTACTGCTATCTTTTGCATACTTATTTAGGAACAAACTAACTGAGCCTTTCTTCTCAGTGAACATATAATTCTGGTCTTCAGTACTAGGAAAATTAAACACAGGTTTGGACCACATGACCCATTGAGTCATCCGCACCTGGCTATATACCCAGCTCTTAAATCCAACTCCCGTTTGGAAATCGCAGCATGCAAACCTGGTGAGCTGGTTACGCGAGTGTTAAACGATCTTTACCTAAGCCTGACACAGATTCGCCTGAACAACACAACCAAATAGCAGGGACTGTACAGCGTAGTATCCGTACAAACCAGAGCAATGGGCTATTGTGTCCTGCAAACAGCGTCATTGTGTTCAATAGGCGTGCAGCTGTGCAGCACTCGTTTTCCCAGGGGAGAATGCATAGAGTTCCCTTAGCTGGGAATTAAGCTCATTGAACGTAGTGTTACTTACTTCTGAGTAAACATATATAGGATTGCGCTTTTTAATATCCTACAAGATGTTTTGGTGCTGCAAACTAATGGAATTATTTTCTCGAAAAAAGTGGCACACTATTAATAATTACGCACTTAGGATACAAGGCAGCATAAGTGAATAAAACTGGATTTCTTTGTTCTCATTGCACTAATCCACTCTTTGCTTCCTTTTCTGGAGGAAGAACTTGAAAAACAACCACTGCACCGCTGAAACAGTCTCACGAGATCTCTGAGATGTTTATCGGGTCTTTGTTTTTACGTTGGGACTTCATTTCCCAAGGGGCCCCGTAAACGAACTTTTAAAAAGGAAGCCGGATGGATAGATGGGGAGCTATGATTGGACAAAAACGCTGACCTCGTTTGTCACGTTTCGCTCGATTGGAGAGCTCCCGCACCGCCTCGGGCTTGATTTTTGGTTTTTCCGTTGAGATCCGCACTGGCAGCAGCGCGAACGGGAGAGTTACAGCGGTTAGTGCGAGCGCTGAAGGGAAGCGGTCCGGGGAGGCAGAGAGCGCGGACTGCTCGCTCTGGGGCTGAGACCGAGGCGGATCTCTGGGGATTGTTCGGGTGAGGGAAGAAGCACCTCCTTATTGAGGAGCACTTCTTCTGAAGTTTAGAGCAGGAGTGTCAAGCTCAGTTGAGTGAACGGGGCGGTTCTCCTCGTCCTCACGCTCGTGCCTAAATAATTTTATACTTTTGCTGCCAGTCCCCTCATCAGGATGGTGGGGAAGAAGCCAGTGTAGGGCTGGCAGCTGGCAACGTGGTGGTGAAAGCAAGCAAGCCAGCCAGCCTTTGGAAGCATTGGTTTAGTTTCCTTCCTCAGCTGCAGTGTGGCCCGGGGCCAGTCATGGATGGTCTCAGCCCAGTCAACCCTCACATGGAGAGAAAATGAGTGACTCGTACTGTTCTCGCCTGTTTCAGCGCCCATGCTGGAGATCCCATTGGATTGTATTTAGTATAGACCCATTGAAAATAATACGGCAAGATAGGGAGAGATTGGATACAAACCTCACCACTCAATGTATTTTTAATTACTATTACATTGCGTTTATATTCCACCTTTTTTTCCCCTCTCCTGAGGAACACAAGATGGCTTACACAGCTTCGTTTTTATCTTCACAACAACCCCGTGAGGTGGTTAGGCTGAATGTGTGACTGGCCCCAGGTCACCCACTGAGTTTCAAGGTCCCCAGCCCAACACTAACCACCGCACCAGCCCTCCCTTAAGCCCCCTTCCCAAGGAATGTTCATGTGCCAACCTATTCTTTCCCCATCCCAAATTCCTGCTGCCTTGAGTATCCCTGCCATGTTTTTCCATTTTGCCATACATTCATTGCTTCTTTCCTGCAGCTGCAACTCCTGGTAAATTCACTCTGCTCTGCTTGATATTTTTGCTACCACTTTGAATGGAAGAAGGGACTGATGCTGAGGCATGCAGACGCCCCTGGCCCCTTTGCCTTACTGGAAGCATTGTTTTCTAGGCCTGAATATATGTGGCATGTGGTTGGGATGGCATGCTGGCACTTGGATGACCTCCCGGTCCAGGCCGTACATTTGATAACTGATTTAAGAGGCCTTTGTATTTTGCCTTGTCCAGTTTCACAACATCCGTGTGAAGTTTTGTTTTTAAAGGGACATAAAGTGTTTTGGCGCCCCAGAGATTAACTTGTTTTGCTTTGGTTTTTTTTTGGTGGCTTGAGCTTTCATAGGCAGATAGCAATCCCTAATTTTCAAAAGCAGAGATGATGGACGATTAAGCCCATTGAATATTTGTCACTATCCCTGAAAAGCATACTTAACTTTTTGTTTGCGGCTTGTTCTGGGAAGATGGGGCTGCTTCCTACCAGAGAGTCTATGTAGAAAAAATCATGTTTCAGTTTATTATAGTGGACAGGGTATGGAGTGGCAAATATTAATTGTGCATCAGGCAGAATGTTGCACAAATGTTTTTCTCTACAGAGATGATATCTGCTTAGACACAATAATACATATTAAACACTGCCCAGTGATGAGGGACACACTGATTATTCATGCAGCATGGTGCTCTTCATCTTTATTAGTATTTGATGTATCTCAGGGTTGAGATCTGGCATTGAAAAGCTGGATAAGCCCCAGAGACACCTGACATATGGATCAGTGGGTTAAGGTACACTGAAGGATCAATCAAGCTGAACAGGAAGGAGCTAAACATAATGGAAATTCAAAAAACATTCCAAACTTGCCTAAATAACTTGAATGTGAAATGTGAACTGAAAGTGAAAGCCACTTTACCTGTGAAATAAAGTTCTGAAATGATGGAGGTTTTTATGTGATTGAGGCTGGGTAGCAGGCAGCTGTAAGGAGGCTTGATGTTGGTGGAGGGGGGTATATAACAAATGTTACTATGAACCTTCAGTGTTACACAAGGGTCTGTTACTACAGGGTCTGCTCATCATTCATGCAGGTGACAGGACTGAGAGCCATGGCATCTTCTCCAAGAACACCCTCTTCCTGCAAAAGGTAAGGTGGATAACTAGTGGCTACCTTCACATGACTCTGTTGGTTCCCTTTCATTTATCTACAAGGTCGGTGTGTTTTGACTAAGTGAAAAGACCCATATTTCTTGTATATGTTTGCTCATTTGAGGTGCCTTTATCATTATCTTTTCCACCTGGCTAACGCATTTGTATCAATACTCTATTTTAGAAATAGACTCTTATATTGTTCTAGGCACACAATGGAAACAAGTGAAATGTTACAAAGGGTAGGGGTAAGCAGGAAAACATCATAGTGCTCCAGCATCTATCCCTACTTCCTAGGTCATCCCAGGCACAATTCAGAAGAGTTGCTTCATACAGAGCACTCTGAGCAAGTTGGTACTTCCCAACTTGCCTCCAAGACTTCTTCTTACCTGTATATTACATAGGATTGCACCTTTAATCTGTGGAAATGTATATGTTCATTCCATTCAGCCGTGCTTGCATATATTAAAATATCTGAGAATTATTTAACTGTTAGGTGTATAATTATTAAAAACAATTAATAAAGATAATTGGATCAAAATAAAATCTAAACACAATCAGACACAGGATCAGCATGGACATCCCTGACCCAAAATTATCTGTACCTAAATGGGAAAGCTTTTCATCATTTCCTAAAAGTAATTTTGTACAGAAATTTCTTGAAAGAAGAAAACACTTCCCACCCATGTGCAGCAAGGTACATTTTCAGTATTAAAAAACAATAATTTCAGACCTACATTCTTTGACCTGCATGAAACGGTGCAAATTGCATCACTCTGTCTTCTCGTAATTATGCAAGTATTGTGACTAGACAGTTTTTATGGTATTAGTAACTTGGAATTTAATCCCATGGATGTTTAGACATGCTGTGGCTGAGGAATGCTGGGAAGTGTAGGGATTTTTTAAAAAATGCATAGCATTGCGCCAGTAACTGTTCTTGTGTTCAACCACACCTTTCAGGTCAGCCACCAGCCGTGGCTCCCCTAGATATGCTAGATCCCCATCTCCTCACCAGAATGACTCTACTCCTCTTCCATCGATCAATAAACGCCTAGCCTACCTCCGCCCCTCCCGGGAACTACTGGAGTACTACCGAAAAAAGATTGCACAATTTGATGAAGAGCATGAGGAACTGGTCAAAAGACTGGAGAAATACAAGGCAACATATGATGAGCAGGTAGGAAAGGGGAGCAATTATCCAGCCAGATAATTAAATCCAGGTTTAATATTTTGAATGAGCTTTATTGCTTGCACTCTTGTTTACTGCCCTTTCTCTTGCAAAGCACGTTTTCCATCTTAAATTTTCTGGGAAAACCCAAGTAAGGAGCATTGTTCAATTTTTAAATTACTAAAATAAGTAAAGACTAATTGTCTGGGACTTGGCTATGTTTGCCAGCTCCTTATATAGCTGGAGAGGGACCACCAAACTTGATTTGCTTTAAATTATTGAGCAGTGAAGGAGGATTTTGTGCTATTTAGTTTTAAAAGTGTAACCCTGGGCTTGAGTGGTAATCCTTTGGGGCTATCTATTCCAGGGCTTAGGAACCCATGGCCATCCAGATATTTAATTACAGTTCCCATCATCTCAGACCATTGACCATACTGGCTGGTAATAATGGGTGCTGGAGTCCACCATCTTGTATGCTTGTCCAACATAGCATTAAATTATGCTATAATTATAGCAATAAACTATGCTATTATGAATTATGACAAATTATTCTGCCATAATTTAATTATGACAGAATTTGTCAAAATTAAATCAATACTGTATTTGATTGAAAAGTGCTATCATAACTTTTTAAGGACGAGCAATGGGTTTAAGAAGTGAGCAGGGGGAACTTGTTTGTATTTACATACATTTAAAGCAGCCTTAGGACAAAGACACCCATGTATGAAAGTGGTTCAAAGCCCTGTGGCTAAGTATGAGTATCTGGAAGAGTCTAGTGAATCCTAAGCTGGTATACTACAAACATTGTCTGGCTGCTTTGTTGTTGCCACTCCTGCAATGGGATACAGTGATCAATGAGGAAAAATATATCTGTCCTGCCTTTGCTTTAACTGCCAAGTGATCAATAATATGCTTCCATTTTCTCTACACAGCACAAATTACAATGGGAAATGCGTCAGCGGGAAGAAGAAATTGCAGAGCTGCAGAAGGCTTTAAGTGACATGCAGGTTTACCTCTTCCAGGAGAGAGAGCACGTTCTGCGTCTTTATGCTGAGAATGATCGACTGAAAATCAGGTTTGTTGTTCAGGTCAGAACAACAAGTTGTCAAAATAGAAGCAGTTTCTCCCCATCTCTGTGTGTGAGTCATATGCTAGCAGATAACAGAGCAGAATCTGAAAGTGGTGGAAGCTATGCATTTGAAATATGTTGGTCTGGTTTTGGGGACCATGGCCAACATCTCCCTAGCCCAGTTGGTTGTTACCCCTCTGCTGGCTTTTATAAGCCAAGAGAGTCAAGGATTCAATATGGAAGTGGCTGCACGAAGCTGTTCAAGTTCCTTGTCAGTATCTTTGAGCTGTATCAGCTGAAACTCATCTGAAAAAAAACTGGACTGTGCTTTGACTAGCTCACCTGACTCAATTCCAAGTTATAGTGAGACAAAGTCCCGGCAGATGGAAGATATTTTTTCCTAGAATTGCCTGGCAAATACATCGTAGATAGCTCCTCAGATAGCTCCAGGACAGCCTTTCTCAACTAGGTTTCTCTGGAACCCTCAATTTCATGAAAGTTCACTGAAGGGTTTGTGAGAGAGCGGAGTGGGCGGGGCGTGGAGATGCACATGCATACGCACGTGAGTTATTGCCTAAGGAGCCCTTGCGCTTGTCCTGGCTGCCTAGGAGATGGAAGGGGACTCAAGGAGTGCCGCAGCCCATGAGGGAAGTGCCAGGGCGGGAAGTGCATCCTCAGGCTCATGGAGTGTGGCACAGCAGCAATTGAATGTACCCAGCTTTAAATGACCAGCAAGAGACCTTATTTTATGTTTTCCTTTCATTGCACACACCCGCCACGATTTACAGACAGGCCCCAGTCACTGAGATGAAGGGGTAACTAATGGACTCTGCTGAGGAAGCAGCAGCACCAAGTAAAGCCTGGATGGGTAGAGATGGTCAATCTCTGGGGCATGGTGCTAGGAGAAAGAAGATGAGGAGGCTGCTTCTTTTGTCCCTGGCTGGTGACTCTTCCCACAAGCCGATCAGACTGGGCTGAAGTGGCCTTTGGCCTCTTAATCCACAAAGCAGTTCTTATGGGGAGAGTCAATCATATTGATAAAATAAATAATAACAGTCGTTATATAAATAAAAGTTCTGGTACTTCTGAGTGCATGGGCATAGGTTAGACTGAAAGATTTATACTCCTATTTATACTCCTACTAATTAAAATTTATAATAATTTTTATGCAGGGTTATCTGAGACATGAAAATTATTTCAAGAGTTTGTCCAAGGTGAAAAACTTGGGAAAGACTGATCCATGATGTCCTTGAGGCCAGCATATCACGGGTCCTTGATGGCCCTAAAAAGCTCTGCTGGGTGGCAAATAGAAGAGGGAATGGAGGCAGTGAGATACTGTTTCTTTGTTGCTCTTCCTGCCCATAAATATAACTGACTATAAGCACATACCAGGGCTCAATTGCATTGGCTATTAGTTTTTCTCCCTCTGCACTCCAGGTGTCTTGTTTTGTTTCATAGCTCTTAGCTCTGGGGTATACCACAGAAGTGTATAAGTTCTGCCCCAGAGAGAGCACTCAAGAGCAATTGTACATACTTGCAAATATAATTTAAGGATAATTAAAGGTACAGTCCTATGCATGTTCTGACAGAACAAAGACTGAAGTCATGTTGGCTGGGGGAATGCTAGTAGTACAACTTTTTCTGTCTGAACATGCATAGAATTGCACATTAAGTTATTAAGTGATGAGTTTTGTGTTCTAGAAAGAATGCCTGTTTGTTTCTACTATGTGTGTGTCTCCCGACTATATGCATGTTTCCTTAAAAAACCATGCCAGAAACAATCTAAACACTGGACAGTTTCTGGTCTATAAAATCAGTTCTTTTGTAACCTAAAGTGAACTTTGAATGCAGTAGGGAAATCAACTTTGAATTTTTATTGCCTTGCTAATGCTGCCTCTTTGGGGTTATGGCAGGAGAAGCAATCTAGTTCCTGTGTTCTTGATGGAATAGGTACACTTTGAGTATGTGAAAGAGAGGTTACAAGAGAGTTTCTTTATGTGGAAAAGAGGATAAGAGAGGGATAGGAAAGGTGATTCTGTTAGAAAAGGCTGGTTTCCTGGCTTTTTTTTTTAACTGCTAGTCGCTACCTTTTCATGAGATCTCATGCAGCAGGCAGACTCTGCAGAAAAGAGAACCTCTCCAGTATAAATGGATATGGGGTTTTCTCAGATGTCTCCTGACCTTGTTTTAGACAACTTCTAAAGACAAGGTCTGCCAGTGGGTGCATCGAGAAATAGAAATGAGTCACTTTTCTTTAAATGAATTTCAGGGAATTGGAGGACAGAAAGAAGATTCAACATCTTTTGGCTTTAGTGGGAACAGACACTGGTGAAGTAACTTATTTTCACAAGGAACCACCTCACAAGGTAAATATAACTCACAAGGTAAATTGTAGACATTTCTATTTAGAGAGCAATTTGATGGTCCCAGTTAAGTTTCTCAGGAACGTCAGGTTCTTCAAAAGCCCTCCAAGGCTGTAGATGGTGGCATACCTTGGAAGGATGATTGCAGAATCTATCTCTCCTCCCAGCCCATTGCAACCCTGCAGGAAAAAACTGTGTCAGCTGCTTCCTGAGGTCCCAAATGTGGAGGGGGATGAGGTCATTCTGAGCGGGGATGCTGGAATATAAGAAATCATATTGCTTATCCTGATCATACCAGCACACTTCCTCTAGATGGGCTCAAAGGTTTAGAGGGAAAAAATGTAAAATAAAGGACAGAGAGGCAAAAGTAACTTCTACCTCTGGGCACTGGAGATTCAGAAACCTCTGAGATCAAAGGCTTTTGTCTAGTAAGGGCATGATCCACAGGATTACCCCATTTTTTGAACTCTCTATATTGCTTTTTGGAATTATAAATTATGTTCGATTTGTTTCTGGTTGCGGTTCATATAGTAGATCAAGGGCACAATCCTATATATGTTTAAACAGAAAACCCTATAACTTTCACCATCCCCCAGCCAATGCTCCAGAGCATGGGTCCTCAAACTAAGCCCAACCCGCCATGCTCATTTAACTGGCCTGCCCCACAGGTTTTCCAGTCACCGCGTGGACTCGTGGCTTGCTCACAATTAGGTCGTTTTGGACTAGCTCAGAGAAAATGTCTCACGAGCAAGCCGGCACCTCGCCCAGTGCACCCCATCCCCATCTCGCATGCACACGCGCCCCACCCCCTCACCAGCCCATGCCCCCCCATCGGCACCGCCTTGGCAGTCCGCACCCACCATTGGCACCTGTCAACTGGCCCCCTTTAGAAAAAGTTTGAGGACCCCTGCTCCAGAACAATAGCCATAATAAAGCCCGCTCGGCAACATGGTATACACCTGAGTTGCAGGTGGTGAAGCAGGCAGGGAGATGATTGGAGCACAGGTGAAGGAAATCTCGGGACGAATCTGACTGAACACACTTACGTGCTCATTATCGAGCCTTGCTGTGGTGGTGAGGGCAACGAAGAGGCAGTTCTCTGCTTTCATTGCTTCCTCACAGTGTGGAGCTTTTCCAAGTAGTGCGAGAGGCCTGATACACTCTGGCCAGGAAAATGAAGTGGTTGCACCTTCAGCAGCCTGCTGTGACAACTTTGCCCAACACTTTAAAGATATCTACTCAGAGTAGGGCCTTTTCCACCCAGATTGTGGAATGCGCTCCCCGGAGGGGTTCGCCTGGCGCCGAGCTTATATTCTTTTCAGCGCCAAGTCAAAACCATTTTATTCGTTATTTTAGAAATTAGTATTTTAACATTTCACCAGTCACTTTTATTTTTTATTGGTTATATGTTATTTATTATATTTGTATGTATTGTATTTTGATTTTAATGATGGTAAGCCATCCGGAGATGCCATGCATAATGGATGGCATAGAAAAGTTTTAAATACATACATACTTACATACATGGATTCATATGACACAACTAGCCTTGACAAGTCAGGTGCAATGCAAAAATGGTGACCAACATGATGCAACCACCCTGGTGGGTAAATGAAGCCACAGAAGGCTGTTGTGTCATGGGAAGCAAGTCACTGAAAACTATTTCAGTAGGCCACCTACCTCTGTTCATGTGATGCACTGCACATGTCTTGGATTATAACTACCATCATCCCTATCAGTATGGTCAGTTCTAGGAGTCACAGTGTGTAATACATCTTGAAGGTGCCAAGTAAAGGGAGTTTGGTGTAGGATGTTAAAAAAAGTTCTAGGCTCCCATACACCAATGTTCACATCAAATAAACCTAGATGAGAAAGATACCTGTAATTAGAGGGGTTACTATCTATATCTCTTATTTGGAACATGTTTCCTGCATTCCACAGCATCTTTTAAGAAATGTGCAGACCTACAATGGATGTGCTATAACGTTTACATTGCCAGAACTTCACCATTTACTAAAAAAATCACAGTAAAGACTTTGGATAATAGTTATACTGAATAGTTTCCACCTGAAGACTTCAGTCTTTGACCAGACTTTGCTCAGATATGCTATTGTGCAACTCTGCTTAGTACCATGATGATGTGGAGTGGAGAGCTTATTAATCCATTTCCTAATTTTTTCACTGAATTCTATACATTCTGAAGGCATCCAGGAAGATCTGACAACGTTCCCTTTGAAAGTCAGAAAGCACAAGCCAAATTTAAATTGTTCAAGTGTCAACTCTGAGCCTAGTTAATGACTTATAACGCATTACCAGTCTCCTTGTGCTGTAATGAGAACCTACAAACATATGCATAGTTATTGCATCGAGTTGCAGGCCTAGATGATACAGCGCCAAGGCAGCACTGTTTAGGGTCCAGCTGCAGTAGAAGCTGAACCACAATATGACACTGTTTTTTAGGCATACTGTTAAGCCTTTGATTTCTTGAAAATTACTGCCTCTTAGGGTTTTGTATTACTGTTGTTTGGCATGGACTTTCTTGAAATGTCTACCTCAAATACAAAGGCAGAGAATAAGCAAATTCCTTTGTTTCTTATAGGTCACAATACCTCAAAGGATAACCAAGAGCAGGGATTCACATACTCAAAGTAATAAGCACACTTTAAAAACAGGTAATGGGAAAAGAAAAATTGTCTCCAGAAAAGGCAGCATCTAAAACATTGGGGTGTCATGGGCACGTGTGTGGGAAAGATCTGAGTTTACTGTAGGAGTGTGTTCCTTGTGATACGCAGTACAGTGAATATTCATGGGTAATATGAGATGGAAATACCTCTTTCTTCTGTATTTCACTGTGGCATAGGACATTTTTTTTCAAGTCAGTTAAAAGAAAGGGTTTCATAGCTTATCAATTAAACTTTTATTTCTGCTTCAGGTATTAAAAACTGTGGCTCAAAACCCAAGACAGAGAAACCAGAGAGTAGAAATGAATACCAGAGGGATGATCAAATTTTATTGTTACAGGTAATTGGTGGCCATGTGTGGATGTGTGCAACCTGACCTCTGCTGCTTTTAGATCTCAAAACAAAGCACTTATTATCTATGAAACCTCAGCTTTGCCAGTGGTGGGGATGATTCATTTAGCCTTCTGTGTGTGCTGTTGCCACTGAAATCTGAGGCACTTCAGTTCAGGACCATGATAACCACTTTAAAAAGAGGCAGACAGCAGTGAAGCACGGGGCAAGAAGGGTTGTGGCCATTTCCTAAACGTTTTGACCATGTATTAAATAATGGCATCGATCCAAGGATGAATTAAAGAACTTCCTGGAAAGACCTTTTCCTCTCCCTTCCTGCACCCAGGAACCATTTGTAATCCCCCTCCCCAAAGCCTGTTCTGATGGTTGGAGAGAGCATTGTGAGATGGGGTCCAGTGGAGAGATGGAAACCTTTCCCTCTATGAACTGACTTAAATTAACTTAGCTAAGGATCAAAGCTAGTAAGTACATTATAAACCCATTACTTCCCATCTGAATCAAATGCAAGAGGTTGTATATTGTGTTTGAGTGAGTAAGTGAGGCAAGCTTGTAATATTTGTTTAAAATTGCTCTGTACATTAATATCTGACCCTACTCTCTTTGTCTTTGATCTTCTCACACACAATCATACTTTGATTTCTGCTTTTAAGTGTTTGAGGCTTTGCCTCAAAGCCAGCAGTGAAAGGAGAGAACCAGCAAGTGTAGCAGAAGTGTTGTCTGTTCCATCTTTGACTTCAAAGAAATTTTAATCGGTACTTGAGATGGCTCATCATGTCAACACCCTATGTATTCATATACACACTAGTAAACCAACATAATGGGGCTTTTTTAGATGACCAACTAATATATCATTCTCATGCTGATAAGCACAGTTTATTTTGAAAGAAACAAAAGCTGCTAAAGAGTAAGTTGCTTCAGATAGCCAGCTTGTCATGTGACAGTTGGAATAATCATGAACTGGGATTGGGTCGGCACTGAATTATTTTAGGAACTTGCCAACAAAAGCTCAGTGATGTTGATACTCTTGAAGAGGACTTCAGCAAATATGGGAATCAGAATTAAGCTTCTTCACTCTTTTGTATTGTGCTGTTTGGTTGTCCTGACCGTGCAGTCTCCAAATTGCCAAACCTAAGTGGGGATGGGGCACACCCTGAGTCTGTACAGTGGGTGCAAGCTGTAGTCCTCAAAGGGGCTCTGGCACTGGTGTTGGGAGGTGGGGGCAGACAGGGAATTCTTTAACAGATCACCCTGCCATTTCAAGAAGCCCCATGAGGGAAAGAACAGACAGACAGACCTTCCAGGGTCTGGTCTCATTGCAAATACAAGAAGGGACATAGATTCCCCTGTTCTTTTCCCTACCCCCCCCCCCCTTCCAGGAGTCCCTCTGCCAAATGTTCTTCTCCATCTAGCTCAAGGTTCTCTAGGGGAGGCAAACACAGAAAGGTTGCAGAACAGCCTCCAGGTGCATCAGGGAAAGCAACCAGGCCTACACTGAAGGTACCTAAGTTTAAACCAACACATAGGGTAGGACACAACAGAGTGGTTTCTCAGGCTCTCTCCCAGTTCTTCCCCTAACAGTTCAGATACTCCATTCAACTCTAAGCACAAGGAAGAGGGGGATTATCTGAGGAGGATAGTGCTTGCATGATTCCCCAAGTTATCAGACTTGTTCAGCCAGAATAATTTTCCTGTTTTAAAGTCTGTTCGACCATTCAGCTCACTGGAGATAAGAAACTAGAGACTGAGGACAAGAATGCTCTCTCATTGGAAACTAGCACAGTATTCCTTCAGGAGGAGCAAGGCCTTCCAGAATGCCTCCTCCCTCTTCTTTTAGGAAAGTATGTAAAGCTGAATGGGACAATCTGGCTATGGCAAAGCCTTCCAACTGGTATATACTCCCTCAGGAAGTTATTGACCAGCTCAGAGTGCCACTACAGGATGCATTAATGGCAACACTTACCTCCATCATCAGCTGTTCCTGCTGATAGAGAATGTGGACCATGGGACTCATGTGATAACATGTAGAGGCAGCACTTCACAGGGACTTTGAGGCCTCAGCATTGGCTTTTTGAGCAACTGTTACAAATTCTGTATTTGTAAGAGCAGCTTACAAATGGAAGAAATGGAAAAGCTGGATTCTATTCCCAAACAGATAAAGGGTGGATTATTTAAGATTACACATACTGCAGTGCTCTTGGCAGACTCTTCTGTGGATGCAGTTCAGGATTAATCTAGAGCTGTGATGACTAAAGTGGGAGCTTGCAGAAATGTATGGTTATACAGCTTCACCCTGATATTAAAGCAGATTCTCTGCCTCTTTCCTATCCTTTCCAGGTGGAAGCTCTTCAGGCTCAGCTAGAAGAGCAAACAAAGCTGTCCAAGGAACAAACTGAAGCATTGCTAGAGGACAGACGAATCCGTATAGAAGAAGTTCAGGTCCAGCATCAGAGGGATCAGGAAAAGATTAAAGACCTTACCGAAAAGTAAGTATACTTTTCTTTGATGGGAGCCTGGGTATGTCTCATATAAAGATAAACTCCATAGGTGGCCTGTCAGCTTCATAATTGCTGTGTCTGGAAGCCTCCTGCTGGTGGTGATTTGATATGGTGAGAATTTTGGAATCCGTGTATCTCTGGAAGCAGGAGTATGGTAGCAAGGGGGGAAGCACATAGAACCTACTCTTGACATAACATCAAAGCAAATTTGCACTGTCCTACTTTGTGGATATGGACTAGAAACCCATACAAATTGCCCAGGGAGTTGTGTTGGCAGAGAATGAGATTTTTAATCTGACAGTGCATAGTATGAACCTCTGCTCAAGCACAGGAGGGAATGATAACTTTCTTATTCCCTCTGGGTATTATTTTTAATTTGAGCAAGTACATAGCATAGTAGTGGAGCACACCTTTGCACGCATATGAAGCATCAAGTTCAATTCCCAGTCAGATCAGATCTGAGAAAGACCTTGTGCCTGGTAACCCTGGAGAGTTCTTACCTGTTAGAAAAGATAGTACTATAATAGACTAGGCTGGGCAGATTTCAAGATTCCAGTATCTGATTGCTTTTTAACAGAAACCTAACATCTACCAATTTAAATAAGTCACAGAGTAACAGCTCAGGCAAGCAGGCAAACGTACCCTACCACTTAAGGAGCAAGGTGCCCTGAGCAGAAGCTCATCCCAGACCTTTGTCATTTGTAACCAGAACCAAGTTCACAAGTCTTTGTACACAAAGATCTGCTCCTTGTTTCTCCCTAAAATTCTTTTTCAGGGACATAATTTAAGGGAGGGAGTGCTTTTAAGTGGTTGCTATTGTCAGAAGTTGCATAGCTTTGTGGCAGATTCCCCACAGAATCTCTGGCAAATCCTAATCTATCCTCTGCCTCTCTTGGCTAGATGGACAAATGCCATGGCACCTGTGCAAGTCAGTTTCATATTTTCAGGTCCTTCATGGTAGTACAAAAGTGTAGGCCAAAAAAATAGGCCACAACAGCCCATGGGCAGAATACCAGTGCAGATACAATGTTAGATAAAATTGTATTAAACAGGATAATACATGTTTTCTTTCCTGTAAACTGATCTAGAACTGTAAAGCCATTGCTTCTCATTCCCTACTTTGGCTTGGAAATGGTAAAATGTAGGAACTGGGGGACAAATAAGGGTGGAAAAAAATCCATGATTAAGAAAAATCAGATTTATTCATTTAAATTAGATATTTTAAAATTTAAATTGGATTTTATTAAAATAAAATGCTTTTTGAGTAAAATTTATGCAGTTTTCTGTTTAAGAAAACTTTAAGAGATATTATAGTCCAAAGGTTATTTATCATGAAATAAGGATTAGTTTTTAATAATGTACCATGAGGCTGTATATTCATGCAATATTTACATTTTTTGGTAAATGAATTTCATTAATCCATTCACAATGTCATGCTCTTCCAGAGGTTTTTGACCATTTTTTTGATCTAGGATATATTGCAGATGCTTGGTTTTACAGTTCTCAAAAATGTGAATTTGTGACTGCAGAGATCACATGCCTCTTTTTCACAGCAAAAATGTTAAAAAATAAACATGCAGAATTGAAAAGACCTTAATCCCATTGTTCCTTTGCAAATATATATACACAGAATCAACCCCATACCTCTTAATTGTTAAGTTTCAAAAAAGTAAATGAATAGAAGATTGTTGGGAATGGAATAGATCTGCACAAGAAACTAAGTGTGAGGAGGGAGGGACAAGCAGTAGAAATGAAAGTGAAACCTTTTGAGCAGAATACTCCACAAGTCTTTGGATCTTTTTGTGTATAGCCTGAAGTTTATCATGTTATTCTTTCCCTGGAGGAGAAAACTTATAATGGCAGCAGGCTGTAAAAGGGATCCAGTTTGGGAATATTTTAATTATGTTCCTCTACCTACAGGTAAGGCAGGCATGTATGCAAATTATGTAGAAAAGCATGATTTAAACCTAATCTTGCTGAGTAGTGATTTAAATCAAATCCACCCTGGGACAAATTGATTACTAATTCATTTAGTGCCTCTCCAGATACCACAAAGCTCAAAACTTGCTGTATGAGAGCACCAGAGATTTTCTCCAGATGAAGTTTGAGGCACGGGCAAATGAGAAATCCTGGATGGCAGAGAAAGACACTCTGTTGAGGAAGTTGGACAAAAGCAAAGATCCAGCCAAACGGCGCAGGGTTCGGCATGACCAGGAGGACCACAATAGAAGTCAAGACAGTGGTCAGAGCTGGCAAGACAGTAGCCCAGATCAACAAGAGAGTAGCCCAGACCAGTGGGAGAGCAGTCCCTGTCAACACAGCTTCAGCAAGGGAGCATCTCCTGGCAAGAAAGTAGATGGTTACAAGAAGAGGAAACAGAGAGATACTAAACATGTTTCTCGAAGACAGCATGCATTGCATAAAGGATATGGTGTAGAGATTAAGGTAATAGCAGCTGCTGTGATGTAACTGCCCATTTCTGAGGGCTTGGTAATATACCATGAAATTTTGACATCTGTGGTGCTGTGCCACATTGATACAGTGTTGTGTTATCCTGCCAATTGCCATATTTTATTCTAGTGTTAGGTTTTCTTTGCCTCTAGTTACCCTTTTTACTTCAATATTGTTAGCTATGTTATAATTTCAGTATGCTCTATTCTTGTCACTGGTTTTAGCTGAGAGTTTGGATTTTGAGAAGACTGTGGAGGAATTATATCTATTTGGTCTGGAGGAAAAAGTCCCACAGGGATTGGAGCTAGTTTTCAAATACATGAAGGATTGAGAAGAGGCTTCTGCCTTGAACACAGGGGACGAAAGCCAGATATGGTTGAAACACAAAAATTTGCTTTGCAAACATTGCTTTTGCCTGCTCCCTACTCAGTTATTAAAACTGAGCTTTGTTCGAAAGGCTATTGTTTTCCTGTTTTCTCGTTTCTCATCCAGAAAGTACACAACACTGAACATAGTTTAGTGCCCACTGTTTGCTGTTTGCCCACAGTCGTTGTCATGTCACATCCTAAACAAGTTGTAGCTAGAACACCAACCCGGTGTATTGATGCTATCTTAAGTCAACCACACTTTAAAAGTGTGGTGCATGGTACACATCATGGTGCTGTAAGTGATGTATAGCTTATTCCAGATTTTAGCCCTGTCTTCTTTTGGAAAGAATTTGTCATCTTTTGAAAAGGAAGCAGTTGTCCATAAACCCCCATGCATAACATCTGATAATCCTCAGCTTTTTATCTTAACCTCAGGGACTACAGGAGCAATTGACACAGGAGCAGCGGTTAGCAGACATGTACCGAGAACAGTGTATTTCCCTGGAAGAGCAGTTGGCTAAGATCCGGGAGGAGGGAGATGTAGGGCGAGAGCTCTTCAAGGTAATAACTTTTGGCTGCTGTTGGCACAGCAGCCACTCTGACATGCTGCAATCGCTACTTCCATGATCTTACTGTGATACTCCCCACTTGTAATCTTCTGTTTGCTTTCATTTTACAGGAACGCTCAGAAAAGATGGGAAAACGCCTACAGCTGATGACCCAGCGCTATGAGGCACTAGAAAAACGACGTGTTATGGAGGTGGAAGGCTTTAAAACTGACATTAAACAACTTCGGCAACGGCTGAAGGATGTGGAGAGGCAACTTTTCAAGGTAATGCTTGTTATGACCAGAAGACAGACAAGTATGAGATTTATTAGGAAGAATTAATTTTAAATGTTTTCATCCTCTGAATTAGGATTCCAAAATTTAAGGGAAGTAATCAGCTTAAAATAACATTCCAGAACAGCCATCCTTTTGCCAAATCCCCAAAAGAATAAAATATTGCTCTAATAAACTTCCTGTGGGAAGGCATTCCACCACCTGGGCTCAGCTACTGAAAAGGCTCTGCTACTCATGACTGCCTACCATATTTCATTGAAAAATGATCCCTGGACATCACATGTGTTGAACAGAAGCTTATGCAGGAGGAAGCTTATGGAAGGAGGTGGTCCTTAAAGCATGAGCGAGCAACCAGTAGATCTCAAGGTGTTTTGGACATCCACTCTGCTGCCAGCCTTCCTGATCATTGACCATGCTGGCAGGGACCTCTGAGCAGTGCCACCCCACTTTAAGACTCTCTGTAACTTATCTGTGTAGGGCTTTCAAGGTTAAACTGGCATCTTCAATTCAGCATGGGGAGAAATTCATTCTTGCCTAATTTGCACTTCACAAAGCTATACAGAAAGTAATATGTACTTATCCTTTAGCAGTTGTACTTTGGGTGATACAGTTCTCCAATCAAAGACATGTATAAAAACGTGTATAGTAATGAAAAGTGAACAGAAAAGCATCACTTAGTTAAAATATCATAGAAAAAGCATCATGTAATTAAAAATTACTTGCATAATGCATATATCAGGCAAATGTGTATATTAGGAGAAATGTATACAAATTTTCAAGTGAGCTTTAAATCAATCTCAGACTGATGCAGAAATTTCACAAAACAAATTTAAGTTTAAGAAAAAAGAAGATGCTAACTTGACAAATTGGTCCTTGAATTGAGTGTGGAAATGAAGGGGTAACCAAAATAGGAAAAATACCTTCTGAACACCTTGGTAGCAGCATGTTGCATCTGTTTGAAATTCACAAACAATAGAGGCAACCTGAACATTTTTCAAGGTAGCCTGACAGACTGTAATATAGAAGATTAGCCTGGAGGTAACAGACGATTGTCCAAAAGTGTTGTAGCTGCCATACCAGCCAAAGCAGCTAACGGCAGCAATGCCACCTTCAGAAAATGGTTGCGGGGATCTCTTTACTCTTGGAACCCAGAGCAATAGACTTAAAGATGATGTGTAAATATAAGACTGTGCAGGTATGTTATCCTTCTAGACCAAGAAGTACGTTATACTTCTTTTGTTTGGGTGTCTGTTCATTTTTCAAAAATAAGTATTCAGTTCCAAATTATTGTTCAAAGCTGATCAATTTTTTGCATTTCCATCCTTCCATCCTTTTTGCCTTTTAATAGGTGACAATGTCTGTGGGGCCAGACCAAGACCTTGCAATTCTGCATGAAGTTCGCCAAGGAAATAAGAGAACTAGAAAGATTCAAGGGGAACTGAAAAATTTAAAGTCAAAGATCTATGGCTTGGAAAATGAGCTACGTGTTTGCTGATAAGGACATGCTAGAGAGATTGACAAAGATCCTTGTTCCAATAGCTTTTTCTGCTCTGTGACAGAACTTTTAGTTTGCTTTGACCCTAGGACTTAATTTTATGCTCTAGGACTAAAGGAGCCTATTAAACAGAATGTGAGATTTAGAAGGAAACTTGGCCTTTCTTTTACACTTGTCCAGATTTGACTTCCACTTCTTGCAGTGACAGTAGATGCAACTGGGCCAAAGTCATTTGGGGTAATTTCTTACGTTCTCCGTTAACTTACTTGCACTCTCTAGGAATTCTTTCTGCCTACTCTACAAATGATGCACTGTGCAGGAACCACCAGAAAACAACTAAGTGAAGTAAGTACCATTTGTGCCACTGGTATATAATGGAGGAGATAACAGCTTCAACATGTCCTTCAAGACCTACTCTATAAAGAAGGGTTGATGAAGGTAATCAGGAATGAAGGAGGAAGGAATGAAGATGAGAAGCTGTTATGTGTTAATTTAAAAACTTCTGAGCTCTGAGGCTTTCAAGATTATTGCTCCCAGCAGGGAGCAGATCTCTTACTCAAAGCATGTTGTCTCCAAACTCAGAAGGTTTTCTCAGCTATCTTCAGGTCCCTGGAGCAAATATTTTTAGATCATACTAAAACTTCCTTGGAAGTAAACCATATTGATTTTAAAATGGGTTTTACTTTAAGTGTACCTTAGACTTAAGGTGCATTTACCCTTTATCCTAGGTAATAGTATTGCAGCCTTGGGCACAGGACTATCACCTGGAATTAACAGCATGTAAGCTGCAATCCAACATATACTCAGCAGGACCTGCTTCCAAATAAACTGGGAAGCAGTTTAGAACCACTGCTTTTATCATGAGTCTTCCTCAGGCCCTGATAGAGGCAATACTTCTGTTACAGAATTCCTTCTGGTGTGTGATATCTAGGGAAGAGTTCTTCTGTAACATCAACATCGGCATTTTTTTCTTGGCATTTTTCACTAATTCAGCTCTGCAAACAGTAAAAGAAATGATCATGTGCACAACTGCTGGCCAGTGACCAACATGTCAAGCTATCACTTCTCCAAAGAAAAGTGTTTCTAAACAGCAAAATTTATAGCCGTATGCTATGGCAACTACACCACAGTCTGATTTGCTGTTGATAACACAGTTGGGAAATTGTGGCTGCACACAGCTTTCCTGCACATGCTGTGAAATTGAAATATATGCAGTTGCCATGTATAATCATCTTCAATCAGTTTTCACACTTTATTCTGTAAGGAGCTGTTTTGCATCATTTCAAGCAATCTTTATCGCATGAGATGCTCTCTCCCTTTTGGAATTTTTTTATTCTTGTCTGGATATTTAAGTGTTGCCAAATTGTAGCGTTAGCATACACCTCTACACAGGGTCAAAACTTAAATCACTACAGCTTGCAAGTCTATCAGAAACAAGGGGTCACTGTCTTTTTTTAAAAGTTATTTACGGTAAGCAGGAAGCTGAGAATGCAAAACAGCACCACAGAAAATTGGATTATGTGTTTTGCTGTTAGAAATCGGACAAGGTAAATACTGCAATAGATGAAACCAAATCATCTGTTTCTACTTCAAATATAAATGTGATGTGCTATATCATATTTGCCTACACTTGCAACATAACATCTACACTATATTTTTGGCTTGCTTCAACTGGTCTGTAACTATGTACCAAGTAAAATTCACAGAATATTTTGAGACTTTCCAGAGAGCAAATGTTTTTTAATGCTTGAAAGTGCCTTAGAGCTGTTGCTTTGTATTTATGTCTGTTACCATATGCCTGTAAATTTCTTCTAATTCAGATTTTACACTATCAATATTGAAGTTGAAACCCTTTTCAATAAAAGCATCATAGCTCAGTCATGCGTTAAAGGCTAACATGTATTGGAGTATAAATATACAGGGATTAGTGCCCACTTGTTATTCAGTTGACAGAAGAAGGGAATGCAAAAAGTGGCACTAAAAGTGATACTTCTTGTACTGCAAGAAGTACAATTTGTGACATTAATATGCAAAGCTCAACTATATACATCAAGATAGGGAAACCTCAGGCCCTAGAGGCCAAATTTGGCTATCCCTAGCTCCCAGTCAAACTTTGCAAGGATTCCAGTGCAGTTCAAAGTTTTTAGTAGGGCCTTTTGGCGAAGCTTTTCATAATATATATAATGCAGAAATTGCAAGTTGCTGTGCTGTTCCCATTAGGGGAAAAATAACTGTAGCATAAATCCTTTTATTAGAACTTAATAAAAGACTGAGAGGCTTGAGTTCCATACACATCTTCAGGCTAGATGTAGAGATGTTTTAAGGAGCTGGAAAACTCTGCAGTTGGTGTAATATAGTTATTGCTTGGATCCAGACTTAGTCATGTTTACATCAGGCCCACAGAAATCCATGGGGTAAGTTAATTGTGAATGAAATCCCAACCATTTCTGTGGACATACTTTATAAGCATAGCTAGCTTTCATCCGGCTCCCTGATATTTCAGTATGCTTTAGCATAGTAATTCAACATTTTGCACAAAGATGTTTGATTTTGGCATGTCTAATTCTGAATTTTGCTGACTACTGTTTTTGTTTGTAATTGTTATTTTGTTTTTTAAAAAAATAATATATAACTAGCATCTCTGAGGGACTTCATGGTTGGGTCAGCTAAATATATTTTGATGAATAAACTAAGGGGCCCTGATGCTCAGGATAAGCAATATTGAAAACCCAACATGGTCATCCACTTAAAAACATGAAGGCAGAAGTTTTCTTTACTTCCCAAACAGGATGTTACATCTTGCAGCAAGGAATAGCCATACCTACTGAATATTAAATGTTTAAAATCATACAGTCATGTCAGACATAGTTTTCCCACTTAGAAAACACGTCTATAGGAAAAATAGGTAAAAAGAAATGGGGGAAGCTATCACCAATTGTGGGCAGGTGGTGTCATAGACCCAACACCATGGCCAGCAGCCACTATCTGAATTCTCTGCAATTGTCCCCACTGTAGTTCTGCTTGGAGACACTGTGAAAATTAAAATTACAGCTAGACCTAGCACAGCACCATTTAGAATCTGTTGCCCTCCAGTGTTGAATAAATTCACATGACCCATTGCTGGAGGGCACTTGGCCTGTGACTGTTTCAAACCTTGAGCCTTGCTGGAACAAGTATGCACCTCTAAATAAGCACTTTTCCAATCATCCAGATTTTACATTCTTTGCTAAAAGGAGCCACTTTCAGAGAAGGAAATGAGTTTTACCAACTGATTTTGTATTATATTATGGATATGTGGTGTGTAAAGCACTCTGACCTTTTCCAGTGGTTACATATTTCCAGCAGATCCTGGCTCCTTCAGAAGTCATCCTGCATTTTTGGAATATGTGTTCTCCCTTTGAGCATTGCTGATAGATGAACATGCCAGCAGACTGTTTCAAACTTTGGCTTTATTTTGTAAACTTAAATTACTGCTTTCTATAGACTAGGAGCCATTAAAGGCATAGAGATAAGCAGTTGGGCTTCCTTGTATGATCAAGTATGTTCGAAATCATTATCTCAGTATTCTGTTTTGGCAACAAACCAATATTAACACATGCTTCTGATTAACATTTAGTCTAAACCAACCATAGTCTTCCTTAGAAGTAGGAAAAGCATATGGGAAAAACAATGTAAGGCAGACACATACATGGGTGACCTAGTTCTATATGCTACAATAATTTATGTGCCTACTCTGAAATAACTCCCATCAGTGTCAATGAGATTTACTCTCCGGTAATTGGATAGAAAACCAGCTTTAGGTTCACAGGGTAGGCACCTGCCGATGGCCTAAACTTCAGTGGAGACTCACAAGTCCCTTGCAGCTGCTTTTTATCACTGCAACCTACTGTTTACCTGCCTCTGGCAATGATGATAGTGTCAACAAAGCAGCACTATGTGGTGCTGGCTCTCTGCCTGTGAAGCTAGTAAACACTACTTGTGAAACACGATGAGGCATAATCCCAGCTGGTGACAGTGGTGCTGAATAGGCAGACTTACTGAGGGAGGAAGCCCATTGAGGTGAGTAGCCTGAAAAGTAATAAAGAGTAGTGTAAAGGAGCCAGCAGTTCATGTATCATAATAATCACTACTGTGCCTGGCACTAGGTTCATACAACTTTGAAATAAAGCCATATGGGTCTGTGTAAAACATAAGTTTAAAGAACCAAGTAATCCTGTGTAGGTTTGCCCAGAAGTGTCACTGAGGTAAGGGAGGAAGCAGGCAAAGATGCTTCCGAAGTCTCCAGCTGGACTGTCATCCACCTGCCTACAGGAGCATCTGCCTCCAGCTGCCTCATGAAAAGGATCCTCCCACTTTGTTAAAGGATGATATTTAATATAAACCTATTTTTGAAAGGGTGTGTATATACACAGTTTGTCTAGGATTACACCTTAGATCAGGATAAGCAAAGCTGACTATATTCTGGAAAGTGACATAGCCATATAACCTCAGTTCCCTGACCAGAATACACTATTAAAATCAGCCATTTTATAAAAATATATGCTGAACCTACTTGAGTTTTTGCAGGATTTAGAAGACTTTGTCAGGAAAGACAGGTAGACACACACATACAGCAGGTGAGATATAAGGGTGAAGAAACAGAGCTTGAAGACTTTCCTATAAGAATAGCCAGGCCCAAATCACACAGCAGATTTTTGAAGAAAAAAGAAGTTTAACTTCTAGATTAAAAGTAGCCCATTTTGCTGAAAAATAAAAGCAGATGTAAAACTACCAGTTGAGATGAAAATATAGGTAGTCACTAATATTATCAACAGACCACTACAAAATATTTAAATGATCCAGGTTTTTTTAGCATAAAATCTTTGATTATATTCTTGGAATATATTTTGATAAAACAAAAAAATGTATAATTCTCATAATTCAGGCTGAAATCTTAGAATTTATATGATAAAGTCTGTTTTCTAAAGAAAAGGCCTGGAAATAATTTAAGTGCATGTAGTTGTATCATCTACCGAAATCCCAACCAAATTTGTCAACAGCAAAGAGTAGAAGAATAGCCTTGAAATTTCCTCCATGAAATATGAAACTTGTTTTATTCAGTCTTTGCCACAAAAAGCATGACATCCTTAACAAGGCTTGTGGAGGGATAGAAT